ATCTTGATATTCAACACCTAAAGAGTGGCTGACACAAAGTTGTTGGTTTTTTTGAAATGGAAATATTGAACCTTTTTGTTGATTTATGGATTAATTCGGTAACAAGCACGAAAAAACAGTTGTTATTATTTAATTTGATTACTATGATCAAGGAAAAATTATTTTTTAAAAGGTAAATTACTGAGCAATCAATGTTTACTATGATAAGAATATCATATCAATAAGAAAGGTGATCCCGGGAAATACTGAGTTAGATACTCGGCTAGTTATTAATCAAACAATTTGAGTAACTAATTCAAATAGCTATGGAAACAACTCAACGAACGTCAAAATTTTACGAAAATCGTACCACGTATAAATAGGGCTAACACGTGCGTATTCGGCGATGATTTCAGATAGGTAGCGTACACCCACGATTGGTTTTCACCACCGAACAGTTAGGTAGGTACAATAACAAAACAAAATCGAAAATAACAATAAGGGGTATCGACCTTTTCCGCAACGCACCGATTATAGACGAAATCCGGCATCCGAAGCGACCGCCGAAGTCGTGAGACGGTTGAAAACGCCGTTCGCAAACAGGATGGGGTGTGGTGGCGGTGTAGAGGTGGGGTAGAGGAGGAGAAACATGGCCGTAACGTTGAAAAACCGTAGACGTAAACGTTGAATAATTGATATTATTCGATTTTAGCGATATTCATAAACGCGGGCGGTCTTTTCCGTCACTTCCGAGCGGATTTTCGCGACATAAGTTATTTACACGGCGACGATGATGATAATAGTAACAGAAACAACAACAACAACAATAGGTACCCGCCTGTACTGCTGTAATATTTTAATCGCGGACCGATGCTCGCGAGTTATTAATGTATTAATGCGCGTTTCGCGGAGTTCGCGACGACGTGATTGCTGCAAAATGCCGTCGCGTTTACAAGCGCACGCCGTACGTATATACGTATATATATATGCATATATTCGTTTTTAACGAAAGAGAAAAAAAGGCGACACTGCGCGCAGTCCGCCAAAACGATAAAATATTTAAAACGCTTTTAGACGAAAACGCGCCGGAAACGGTGCTGTGCGCGCGCGCGCGCGCGCCCGTGCTCCCGTATTTTTATAATATTATCCGGGGAGACCTTTCGGACGAATTCGCTCGCCCGCCGCCGCCGCCGCCGCCGCCGCCCACCGGTGTCTTTTATCCCCGGCCCCGGTCGGCGCCCCGCAGTCGTCACGTCCGCGTTTTCCGGCGTTCTTTTATAAAAATATATTCTTGTTCGGTGTCCCGGACGTTCGCGTGGGCGTTATACAAATTGTACGACCGTGGCGATTTCCCGGGAGTCGCTGGACGGCACGCCCGGGAGTATGTTTAAAGGGGCGCGCGCGGCCGGGTGAGCCGGGGATGAGTGCGGGGGCAGGGAAATCGCGAAATTAATAATTTTCGCGGTTTTTTTTTTTCCGTTTTTCTTACGGAGACGGCGACACAATAAAAAAAACGCGCGTTCTCGAGTGCGTCTTTTTCGCGATAAACGCCGTCCGCGTTTATGGCATAGGCGCGTAATTTTCTGTCGCGATCGTTTTCAACATTTCAAATCGACACACGCGTATCGAATAATGGATGATCTACACGCGCATGTTAAATACACAGGAGAATTACAGCTGAAAACTCAATGCTGTTTCTCGTTAGCTCGACGATTTAAATAAAAGAAAATACCGAGAAGAACAAAATTAAGACCGTATAAGACCCCGGTTGTGTTTTATGCTCGTGGACCGTGGGCGTCTAACGAGTCGAATAAGAATTAATTATTGATTTTTAAGAGGAAAATTTCACGAAGAATGTTTAGCCAATGAGAAATAAGGAACGTGGCTACGAAATACGAACAAACAGGGAACTCACGGTGCTTTTCAACGATATTAATATTGTGGTCACACTCAAAAGCTTAGAGACCAAAATGGGCAAGACATGTACAGTGGTCAGAAGACCGACTTATACGGACTGTTACGAGTTGGAAACTTAATAAAAGACGATCAAGAGGAAGATCGCGACAAAGTTAGAAAGATCGAAGAGTCTTTTTTAATTAAAGAAGACTTGAGGCTACTACAAGAGTGATAAATGGAGAAGAGATGGCGACACTCAGAGAACGAAATGTGAAATGCGGAGAAAGATTGTGGAATGGGCCTTATTGGCCTCGAATAAGCAAAAAAAAAAAAACATATATACATAATTATACGATAGTATGTGTACGCAGTGGCATAGCCAAAATTGTGTACTGAGTGGGGGGACGTTTTTGCTAGAATCGTGGGAGTATAGGTAACGGGAGTGTGGAAGAGTTAAATATCAAACCAAATTAAAAAAAGGAGTTTTCAGTAATATGCATTTCGATGAAATAATTTATCGAAAACTTATAAAAAAAAAATAGACATACTTCGTATGATGGGTGGGCTACTGTTTTAGGTGAGAACTTGGGAAGGTAAGATACAGAGGGGAATTTAATGTATATCTGCACGTAACGATTAATCTTAGCTAACGAAAAACGATTATGAGCAGAGTTCGGTTATACATGATAAAAGTCCGTAATTTTTACGATTTTCGTCAACATTTGATATCAAAATTTTCAACAAAAAAATTTAATAAATTAAAAGAATAAAAAAATTAAATTTCAAGCATTTCCGTTTGGTCTAAACATTTTATCCACAGAGTAAAAATTAAGTAAAAAATTCGCAAACTTTAAATGGCTAAAATATTTTGAGAATTGTACCACGTCTAAAGTAGGCGAATGTAAGATTTCTATTAAAATTTCAAGTCTCTACGAATATTTTTAATTGAATTACAATAAAAAAACTAAATTGAAAATAATACATTTCGTAAATTTTCCCTTTTTCGTACGCTTTTTCCCAATTGTAAAAACCGATTGGAAAACCAAATAATGACTTACTTGGTACTATACCTGAAAATCGGAGAAAAATTTCTGATAGAAAAGTTGTTTACATAAAATGAAAAAATAAAAAAATAATAAAGGTCGTTGTAAAACCATTATACTCCTCGTTTTGCTCAAAATCTAAAACTTTATGACGAACTATTATATTATGAATCATGTCTTGGAATATCTTACGGTAACTATACTATATCGTGCAACACCCCTTTGACAGTTTCTAGGAATATTTCGAGTAAAGGTAATACAATAATAATTATAATATAATAATCATATAATTTATGTTCACATTGAGATTATTCTTTGACATAGTGCTCGTCGTCCTTAAATGGAACATTTTCATGCGACTCAGTTTACGAAATAGGTTCTTCCAGAAGGAAGTGGAAAAAATAACAGCATAAGTAGTTAACATTTAAATCGTAAAACAGTATGCATACATAAACGTGGCCCACGGGGGTTGTGGGTGGGAGGAAGAGGGAAAGCTCTATAGTCCTTCTTTGGCTACGTTACTGATATTGTGCATTAAAAATGTCTGTCTTTGTATTTTGTTTGGATCTCCGAACAAATACAAATTGATATTATAATGTTGATGTAATGTAACTTTAAAATTCTTACATTCTAAATGTTTAATTTGCTTACTTATAGATATCTACATTTTATCGCTAAAAACCACATTTGAGTAACAGTTATTCAATATTAAACGAGCTTTAGTACGGACAGAGTATTCATATTTTAAGACAATATTAAAAATTAACATGACGGTTCTAAACACGGTTATCGACGACCGTCGCTGACGAAACACGCCGAATCCGCTTCAAAATTAACCGAAATAACGAAGACCGTAGGCGGACCAAATTTTCGACGGGGGTTTTAAATTATATCATCCATTATTTTCGTTATTACACACTACACTATAGTCTGCGATAGGCTGTAACAGTCCTAATAGTGTACGATAGTTAAACACTTGGACAAATACGAGCGGTGTAACGTTCCACACGCTTTTCGCGTGCTGACCCGAAAACATCTAAAATAGGAGGAGCCGTAACGATTATAATAAGATGACTAACCGACTCCGGTACCCGGGTTAGACTTAGTTCAAAAGTCGATTAGAGAAATCACAATTACCTCATTCTTCACATTATTTTATGAATTATTTATTTGGATTTGTAATATTTTTGTGAATTTAATTTATTAGACTTGGGACCATTTTATCAATCTCCTGCAGTCATGTTAATCTTGTTTTATTGCCTACCTAATTGACTTTCGTTGGCTCGTTTTCCATTAATTTAATGCAATTACCGACCGATTTAATTTAGAAACTATCTAATTTGTTCTACTACCTACTTATTTGATATTGTCACAACGTTACATAAAACCAACTTGACTAAACCCTAGATTCTTACTTCTTACTATTAAATATTTTTGTCAATTCTTTCCATGTTTTATTTTAAATGTTTGAGATAGTAGTATCGGGTTTTTCATTTTCTAAAAATGTTTTTTGTTCAACGACCAGGTTAACTATAAGTTCCAATTCGAAATCAATACAATTGGTAGAACGCACTCGTTTGGTTTTGAAACTCATTGTGAATAATGTAAAAAAAAAAAAATATATAAAACAATCAGAAATTATACATATATATATATATATATATATATTAGTTTTAATTCTGAATTATTATTTACACAGAAAAAAAAAAAAAAAAAAAAAAAGATCCTAAAAGTGTAAAATGATATGAGAATTATAGAATAGATTTGGTGTGCCAAATATTTTATGATTACAGATCACAACACATCGATTGAAGCAGGCAACATGTTCAATGTTTATATGTATTTTTATAGTGAATTTATCTTTAGTTGGTTAAACCTAGATTAGTTAATCTCAGAATAAAAGTAATTAATAAAATCATAGCTTTTTTAATTTGCAGTTAGTTTTAATCTGAGATTTTGTTAACTGGAAATTTAACTGAAGATTGATAAAATGGCCCTCTGAATATTTTCTAAACATAATTATTCGTACTTTTTGTACGAAATATCAATTTACTGTTTAATTATTCAGAGCTGTATTATAAATTATTTCATTCTCCCTCTTTCAGCGTTCTCTTGCGTCAGGCACGTTACAGCGGGTTCTACCTCCATTTCTTGCTTCCCCCTGGAAGCACGGTCTTGATTAAAGTCACAAAAACGAGCAACTATAATTCGCGAAATTTTTGCACCTCGGAAAGAAAAACGATCCTTCACGTCGCCGCTCGTCACATGTTGAACGCAATCTCTTTTCCTCTCTTTTCCGCCGTCCGGAATAAGTGGATAATTCTTACGGGACTTTTTTCCCATACACCCCATCGTATATATAAACCTCACCGATCCTGTTCGCCGAGATCTCGAAACTTTCCTTAATTTACAAGCCCGTTACGTACCATATTAATTTCGCCCTCCAACACAGTGTCGCATTACCGTCGTAATTTAGTTAGTCGAGCCTTTCAGTTATTTATTGCATGCTAGACATTATTGCATACTAGAGATATTATTATGTTTACATCCGCGCAATATGATCTTGTCTCTTGCAAACACAAACTTTAAAATTGTGTTGTAATTGTCAAAACACCATAATAACACACACAGAGAGATACTTATAATAATGTGGGCTAGAGTTTTTAAATTGTGATTAAAGAGTGACGAGTAGGGACCGAAGACACGACCTTGGAGTATTAAAATGTTTAAACTTAAATATTAATATTTGTGCTCATTAGAGTCACTATTGAACTTTGTATTTTTTTATTTGTTTTTGTTTTTTTGTCTATTTTAGATTTGCCCTTGGTATTAGTTGAAAAATATTTCGGCCTTTTTTTCCCGCGAATAACTTTTTTACTAACAATTTTGCTCTGATTTACAATTATAGCACTATTGCTTAAAGGAAGTCTGACTGGAAAGGTACTATAGGGGGATAAGTTTTTGATTTTCCCAATAAATGGTAAAAACGTAGGGAAAACGGGAAAATAGGTAAAATATTAAAACAATATTATTAAAGAAAATATATAATGCCTATGCAATTATTGTACCATAACATGACATTTATATTGTTAACAAAGCAACATTATTTTCGCTCAGAATCGGTTTTTCGTTAGCAATGGTTTATCGTTGCTAACAGATATACATTAAAATTTTCCCCTCTATTACTTACGCAACTTCTCACCAACACCGAGTACACTGGTGTTGGTGCGAAGTTGCCCGGATTTTTTATTGGATTTTTTTTGTACATTTTAGATTCGTCTTGATTGCATCACATAAAAAATCGAATTTAATCATGCAATTAAAATATCTCTATATACTTATGCTGTAAAGACAGGACACTTCAATATTTCAACATTAAGTATTATTTAATTATGGATTTAAATTTTTTAAATTTGAATCAAACTCGATACAAATTTCGTTATATGTATAATATTATGGTTTGGAAATAAAATACATTTTTATTTTTAAATTTCAGATTATGCTGCGCAGGAATGTGTTTGTCTAACTATGATTTTTTTTTCATGTCTGTTAAGTATGTGCCATGCAAGTTAAAATTTCTACGTAAATTCAGAATATGTTTGAGCAAACTTCGCTCAGAATCGTATTTCGTCCGTTATGGTTAGTCGTTGTTTACAAAATATAAATGAAATAACTTAATATATCGTGTTACCTTCCCCACTTCTCATGTACAACGGCTCACCGTTCAGCAGTAACAACTATTTACTTTGTTTTTCTTTGACAAACATTATAGATAATGACACGACTTTACGTATTACGGGTACGGTCGAACGACGAAATACCATATAAATTATAATCGGCGCATTTTGATTCCTATAAAGGAACTATAGGTACCCAAAGGTCTTCGAGGCGGCGAGACGAGTGCTATACATTTTCCCGTCTCGAAATACCGTTTTTACCGTAAATACGTTATTAAATAATTTTAATATCTTAAGATCTTAATTAACTTGACTACCGCGCACGTGTACATCACTAACCCTGCGCATCGCCAGCCGACCCTATTTGCCAAAAGCCTTTGCGCGCCCGGTTTTCGGGACGTGTGCGCCGAACCGGAACGTGGTTCGGCTATAATTAAAATAAAATAATATATTGCGCAGCGTCCGATTCGCGAGTAAAAACTTTTGTCGACGAACGGATCGATAAGAAAATAAAATATTAAAAAAGGTAAGATAATGAGGAAGGGTGCAGCCACTGTTATAGGTAATTTAACGTATACTTGTAAGCAACGATAAACCATTGCTTACGAAAAAACGATTCTGAACGGAGTTCAGTTGATTTATCAACAATATATATATATATATATATAATGTAATATTATAGTGAATTAAATAGACTTTATACATTTTATTTAATAAAATCTGTTCAACGTTGTACCGATTTTTCCAGTTTTATTACGTTTTTCCCGGTTTTCCCATGTTTTATACCGGTTTTTTAACACTTGCTGGGAAAACTTTTGGGGAAATCAAAAAATGACCTCCTAAAAGTACCCCTCTCTACTGAAATTTCCTTTTATAAACGTTACTCTCAACAAAAGTTGGAACAAAATTGCTGACAGAAAAAAAAAAACAATCGTAATATTTGTTATATTTCGAACATTTTCTTATTCTTTTTTCGGTTTTCCGCATTTGATGAGAAAATCCAAAAATTACCTCTTTATTGTACCTCCCCACACCGATTTCCTTTCAGAAAATTTGCTACACGTAAACATAGGAGCAAGGTAGAAAAGTTGTTCACAGACAAAAAAAAACAAACATCTTTGTAAAACCACACTACTCAGAGTTCAAAAATGTTATTTTCCTCGGAGTAGTGACATCGCTCCCCCCCCAACCCCCTCGCGGACTGCGATTATGACGTATATGTATATACGTTTTTACGGTCCGAGTGTAAACTACGTTTCCAGTTATTATTTTCACTATTGAAGGAGCGTTTTTTTTTCACCGAACCGTACGAAAACATATTTAAATGGGAGCAGCGTGTCAGTAAATCGACTCCAAGTTCTAAAACCTCGGCTACGCCGCCGCCCCGGAGCTTTTGACTAGGTACATTGTTTTATATTTTTCAAAACGGTTTTCGCGCGCTTCGGCCGGTTTTCGGAGAAACACAGTGTTTATGCCGACAAAAAAACTCTGAGGAATTTCAGACGACGGTATTCCAACACGGACCGGAATTCAGCGGGACCGTACCCGCGCACACGACGGCGTTACACATAGGTGGGTAGGTACGCGCGTACACCGGACGGAACCTTCAGAACTATACGCAGGCACCGGAGTCGCGTTGATATTGTACGCGTGTTTGCGACCCGACTCACGTTGTCAATATTTTAATATCGACCAGCTATATTGTTATATTAAAACGTCATATTAACGTATACAGACACGCGTGTACCCCCGTACCTATAATACCGTGTACTGCTCCGCGCCGTAAACAAAACCGAGCGACAAATTTTCTCACATGACATTTTATTGTTATTACGTCGGAAACGGGTGGCGGTGGCGTCTGCGTCTGCGGCGGCACGTGGGTCGCATAACGCGCGGACGACCGCATTCGCGTTTCCATTAACGCGCGCGACGGATGAACGCCTAAGTAATTAGACGTCACCGACGTTAGGCTGTGATACAATCGGTCGGCGAGTGTATTTCATCCTCTCCACCCCTCCCCCCTACCGAACCGTGCACGTCTTTTTTTCTCCTCCTCCTCCTCCCCCCCCCGTATAGCATATGCGTATAGATTCTCGTGGTTCTAGCACGCGGGCCGGGGACGCCCAGAACCGGACTACACTATAGCAATCACTCGATCCGAAAATAATGACACGCGCTTCTTCTTCTTCTTCTTTTCTCGTCTTCGATCGTCTGATCGGTTTGCTGTCCGATTCCTGTGACACTCCTCGTAACTATCCATATCCATGACGTCTGTAGTGATTTGTTTCGTGCACCCCATCCCGGGTCTTCGGTTAGTCCGAGGGAGGGGGCAGATTAATTAGTGTACTCATATATTGTTTTTTTTTTTTTTTCATATTGACTGCAGTCATTATCGTAGCTGCAGTATTATTAACATTATGTAACCATATATGAGATGCTTTTGGTTTCAAACAACAAAAAGAAAGGACTAAGGGGTGAATTTTTGAAAATGTCGATAAATAGAGTGCCAAACATTCGCATCTTTTAATTCGTATGACATATGAAAATCCGAGCTTTATATTAACCGAACAAGCGTTTTCCTAGAAAAAACGACGTCTATGTAAAACTTCTATGCAAATAACTTTTTCACTACATTTTCAGAATATAAAAAAAAAAAAAAACTGCGGCTCTTTTTTGACAGAACTGTCACGAGTTTATAAAAACGTTTGTAATAAAGTAACAACGGGCGGACAATTTACATCTTTTTAAAGCATGCAGTTAAAATCTAGGAAGATTTTCACTTACCGAACAAGTACCGAGCAGAAAATACGACATATATATTATATTCGTGGGTAAACTACACGATGGCAGCTTCTCCGGTCCGTACAAAATCTAAAATCGTAATATTGACGAGCAAATAATTACGATTTTTCGTGACACGATAATATTTGCATTTTCGTTTTTCCACTCTACCGAGTTCTAACGGAATAAAAATCGTACTAAAAGGCAGAGACTGTAAGTGACTGTTGGTTTGGACATGCAATGCGCAGGGAAAAAGAACACAGAATTAGAAAAACTGTTCAATATTACGAAATTGAAATCGACAAACGGAAGACCGAGGGAAAGACCAAGAAAGCGTTGGTTGGACGGAATTAAAGGAAACGTGGAGGTAATGCGAATTATTATCGGGGAAGTATTTATTATAATAGTGATGGAGGTAGATGAATGTAAATTGGCTCGACAGCTAGAAAAAGCTCTTGAAAAGAACGTTTTGAATAGAGAAATAAACAAGAGACTATGGAGTTCAATTACGGAAGGGTAACAGGTTAATTAATATTAATTACCCTGTAACATTTTTTTTATTGTGTTTCAGCGATATTGTTTTCATATCGGGTTCGTTAAAAATTATAATATTACTCGTATATTTCCGATGTGTTTTGTGGAACGTATAATTACAACAACGCTTATAATATTATAATAGCCTTCAAATGTAAATATACACACACACACACACACACACACACACACACATATATATATATATTTTTTTTTTTTACACTCTCGAAAAACAATAAATAATTAAAAGCAAATATTAACTTATAACTAATTTAACAACGTGAATACAATTCGTTAATCTCACAATAAAATCAACATTTATTCAATCATTATTTTAATTATCATGAAATTCGCAACCGCGAAAATCATGCGTTCAGCCAGTAGAGGAGGTACTCGAGAAATGTTCGCGACGTTTTGTCACAAAGCAATCTGAAAAGAAACCCCCCGGACAAACAATGTTTTACACGAACACAAAAGATAATTATAATATCGCTATTGTGCTCGATTTATATACATGATATTATTGTGTACCCGCGAACGTGGCACAACTTAGGGCCCCCTTAAACCGTAGAGTCAACGGTCCTCCCATGGGCCGTGTATTATACGATTTGAGCGGTGGCTATACAATTTTCCAATTACTTCTTCCGTTACTGAAGTAACGCGTTCCACACACCGAACACTGTATGTAAACGTATTCAAGGAGAAGCACGGTGCCGAAAAATATGGCACGCAACGGGTCAGCCATGGCTTAGGAAAATAAAAAAAACGCGGGACAACTTAGGGCCCCCTTAAACCGGAGGGTCGACGGTCCTCCCATGGGCCGTGCATTATACGATTTGAGCGGTGGCTATACAATTTTCCAATTACTTCTTCCGTTACTGAAGTAACGCGTTCCATACACCGTGTGTACACTGTATGTAAACGTATTCAAGGAGAAGCACGGTGCCGAAAAATATGGCACGCGATGTGGTCAGCCATGGCTTAGGAAAAAAAAAAAAAAAGAAGAAGACATTAATAAAAACGACATAGTTACCGTTTTTGATCGACGTTTTCTTAGGGGGATTTAGCTTCCATGATCGGTATAGGTATAATAAGTTTTTTTTTTTTTAATCAATTTTTTGTTTAACGTACTTGATACGTATAACGTTCAAATGCGTATCGATGAAAACAATTAACTAAATTTTTTTTTGTTGGGTGGGGGGGGGGGTTGAACTTGAACCTCTAAACTCTTTTTATTTAAACATACGATTCAATTAAAAACGTACGTGTTAAGCTCCCTACCCTCAATTAAAAATCCTGACAACGCCGTTGTGTATTCGGATTTATTTAATTTTTTTATCGTCATGAATTATTAATAATAAAAACTAAAAAGTATTTTTTTAATTCCGTCCGTTACGGACTTAATAAAATATAATTTTCGAGATAATAATCGTAATTTAGACGCAATATTACGACTAAACCGCGTGTAGCGTACCTTTAGGCGCTATAATTTATTCGCGACTCAACTCGTCAAAAGTTATTAATTTTACAATGAAGCCGTGATTTACCTAATGATGTGGTGATGGGATTTCTTGGCATAAGTATTGTTGAAGTCAAGTGTAAGTATGTACATATTGTAGGCATTACGCGAGACGTGTGGAAATTTACGATTGTCGTTAAGATCTATCTACAGAACCGAAATTACACAGAACGCAAAAGAAAAAAGAAAAACGCCGACAATATTCTAAATTTGATTTCCAAGTAGACTGGACATTGTCTCTATATGTATTGATAATTGTCACATAAAAATGAATATCGAACGCATTATTTTTCTCGGTGGCGTTCACAGTAGCCACACTTTTGTTTGGGGAAGAAGAGATCAGTGGCAAACAAACAATAACTTTGTGAGGAAGTTTTTTTCATTATACAAACAAAATTCTGTTCATTACGTAAAAATTGAATAGGCGACGAGTGGAATCAGATACAGAAATCCTCCCGCCCCAACATAAATATACGCTTCTGATTTTCTTACAGGTACGGCCTTCGGGGAAAAAAAAGCTAGTGGGTACAAATTGCAAGGAAAAAAAACTTCGCACTTTTGGAATAGAAAATTATCAGTAATTTACTATTAGAAAACCGCCAGGAGTTAACTACAATTTTACAATATTACAGTAACTAACCACGCATAATAAGTTTACTTTTGCTTAATAACTGATATTATGTTATGTTTTTTTTTCTACACAATTATTATTGAAGCCATCGTCGGCGTTAGAAAAAACGGCTACAGGACATTTTAAAGACTTCAAATTGAAAAGTTTTAATAGTTCGCGAAAGTTTTTTCTTTTTCTTCTCGTTTCAAGGATTATAATTTTTAAAACGCGTACGCGAGTATACTCGTGGACTCTCTTTCTAGTTTTTTTTTTTTTTATGTTTTATTTAAAAATCGTATGTAAAATCCGAAACGTCGTCGGAGTAATATTAAAATTCAACGAAAACTTATATTCAGCCCGGATCCAAACGTGCCTTTTATTCTGCGGAGTAACTTCTTACTTTGCCACAGTCATTGCATAAAAGACGCGGAGAATATGATTCATCGGTAAAAAAAAAAAAAACTTATATTCTACATAAAAAAAAAAAAAAGCAGCAACAGTCGATTCTCGGAAATATCTTTATTTAGTGCAACTTTTATTTAATTAACGATATACCGGGTACAAGGGGTAAATTTTACGCGACGGGCAGATTTAAAGCGTACGGAGAAAACTTTAGCGAAAAAATCGAAGCTATAGTGTTTTTTTTCCACGACCGTCGAGAATATTTTTGATATTCCTCTAACATAGTGCGCTATACTCAGAAAACGATTTGCGTCGAATCACTTCACTCGCAGAGCATCTGGCAGGCGTCCTGGTGTGGCGTTATTATCGTTAAAATATATATTTATTTATACACGTTTCTTGTTCGACAAATTAAGTGATGTTCATTATTATCTCATGTAAAATAAGATTTAAAGCGGACGGAAAATTATAATATTATGTACTTTGAAATATGGGCAGGTAGGCGATTGTTGTGGGCGATGGGAAGCCATTCAGGGTAATTTAGTTTAAATACATCGCAAACAGTACCGGTAAAAAGATACCAAACAAATATGCCGGAATTAACGACACTGCAGTCAAATGAGCCGTTTTTTTCCCTTGTTAATTATATTCGATGAATGGAACAAAAATTTCTCGGCTCACCATTATGACGCATTCTTCATTCTCCAGTATCAGAGTCGATTAACGACTCGTAATTACTTAGAATTTTTCGCTCAAACACTGCAAGTTGTGTTTCGTCGGTGTTTTTCAGGCCTCATGCAAAACTGTAATGGCCGTATCAGTTACGGGTAATTGAATTTTTAACGTTTTTGAAAAGTAAAAACCTTGAACTAAACATATTTCCTAGGCCATAGTAACATAATTTACACATTTGTAACCCCTTATATTATTTACTTAGAAAATGATTTAAGTGAGTCCCTAAACAGTTATTTGAATATCCGGCTATTTCTTGTCTGTTCGTTTATGTTTAATATTTCATATGTCAGCTTGCCATAGACTTGTCCAAAACTAGTGAACCGTCGTTTTTTGTGTTCAAGTTTGATATCAATTGTTTTGTTTACATTTTGATTGTAAGATTATATCTCGAAATTTATTCAACTGGTTTTTGGTAGATTCCATACGTTTTTTTTTTTATTTAAATGGGATATTCATTTTTGAATGAATCGAAGAATCTGTTGGTTTTATTTTTCTTCTTCTTCTCTTTCGCCTCCATCCCCACTAGTTGGCGTTAGTTATCCTTACTTAAACATTCACTTGACCCGATCTCCCATACTCCAGCTACCCTAATATCATTCTTAATCGCATCCAACCACCTCTTTATCGGTTTTCCTCTCCACTTATTTCCTACTATGAAAAGTTTATTTTCGTTATAATTCTGACTGCTTCAGATGCCTCTCTACGCGTGATAAGCCCAAACCATCTCAGTTTCAATCTGTTGATTTTAGTATGTGTTTTTTTTTATTTTTTGTGTCTTTAAATAACTTTTCTACCAGAAATCTCGCTCTGATCGGAAACTTTATTCTAGGAACTTTTTTGTAGAATTGTCTCGATCTAGTTGACACAAAAAGGAGGTCTTTTTGATTTTCCTTGTAGTTTTCTGAATAAATGAAAAGAACTATCGATTTTTGTTAATTTCTATGAGTTACCTTGGAAACAAGAGAAAAAATTACGAATTAATAATACTCCGCTCAGAATTATTTTTCGTTTGCACAATTCTACATGTATATTCTCCTTTCCAACTTATCACCGAAAACAGGGGCGTAGCATACATGTCGAAAAAACGTGACGCACGGTGATGGGATAAGTTTTGGATGACGAAGTAGTTAGAACAATTAATTTCGTTTGCTAATCGAATTTAGTATGAAAAAAAACTATTTAAAATAATATTATATTTTTGATTTTAAATGTTATCAAACGTATTTTCTTTGGTAATGTATTTAATTTTGTAATTTTTGTAAACGATTTCGTTTCTCAGTTCTGCGATCATACTATTTGTTTATTATTGTTATACTTAATGACACTTTTCCGATCGAACAAATGAAAATGGATTTTCCTATAGTTTTAATCACTGCGACGGATTTGAACTCGCTTACATTATAGATGAGGCACTGTTGGATTTTGAGTGTAGGCGAACATTTATCAAATGACACACAGGATAAAACAAAATGATATTCTATTATAGAATAATAATAGACAGGTAATAAAATAATATTAAGGAAATATTTTATACATAAAGATAAAAAAAAATAAAATAAAAACGCATACAACAGCGCAATAATTAAAATTAGTCATCACATAATTCCGTTCAAAGCTTTTGGTGAGCTTGTGTTCAGTTCTTGCATGGGCACTAATGTTGGTCGTTTATAAGCCGAGTCATCGTTGTCGTGTATCAGTTGGGACTGCGACGAGCACTGTCTGCTTTTTCCGTTTACACAGTTTGTGTATTTGATTTCATGTCTACAAAAAGAAAATAAATACAATTATTACTTAAAAATCTATGGAAAAATAGTTTCTTAAAAGTTACACATAATGTCCACCAAATACCTTTCTTGATTAAGCGGTTGTTCTTTGCCGTTTGTCTGCACGATTGTGATGACTTTTAGCAATTTGGTGACCGTATTGTCCAAGTCTATCACCTGGTCTACGAGATCAGCGTCAGGTGCTCGGAAGTCTTCCAGAAATTCAAAATCAACGTTCCCGGGGCTGGTACTGTTCATGGTGAGTTCTAATTGCTGTCGGGCGACTATAGCCTCCGACAGGTTATTCAAAGATTCGCTTTCGGCCGATTGTAAATCACTATAATCTAAAATTCAGAAGCAATATAATCAATAAATTAACCAATGGTTTCTACCAGAAAATAAACATAACAACAATAACTTGTGTTACTCTAAACTAAAATTACAATAATACAAATATACCGTCTAAGGAATCTGATTGCGATAACAAATCACCAGTTGAACCGTTTCTTTTGCAAACAGGAGTGTAGGTTCTCTGCAATTCTCGCATGGACTCCGATGCTTGTAGACGTTTCTTAGGCGAACAAGGCGGTTTCGGTGAATACGGAAACTCTTGTGAATTCGTGTTGGCTGAACAATACGGAAAAGATGATAATATTAAAATTGGAATTATAACTAATGATAACTAATAAGTATGACATTTGATACACACCTGAATGTTTTTTATCAAATTTCCCTTTGTGCCAATTGGTTGGTGCTGATTTAATAGCAGACACAATAGCTGACATTAAGCTTTTGGGATCTGACTTATTTGACGGACCATTAAGTTGTTCGGAATCACTGCCACTGTCTCCGTTTGTATACGCTTCGTTGAAGTACACCTCATCCTAGACGAACAAATTACAATTTTTCAAAATATGAAATGATTATTTAAAACGATGACAAAATAAAAATATTGAAATACACACTTCGATATCGCCTTCCGAAATAGAATAAGACTTGACGAGTCTCTCCAACAGTGAATCGAGACGGTTTCCTAATCCCGAAAGACCAACGACCGCACTCGATACAGTTGCGTCTTGTTGCTGTAACAGTTCCCTACTTTTAATTTCCATCACCCGCAGTTTTGCTTGTAGCGACATGTTCTCTTGTCTCCGTTGTTCAGATATTCGCACCAAATGTGTACACTGCTCCATGGTTTTGGAAGCCTCTTTTTCTTTTGCAGCCAACCGTTGTTTGTAATCTTTAACCTTTTACGGGACAACAATATTTTTTATTAGGGAAATTTATTAAAAAATAATAATAATAATAATAAAAAAAAAAATGTTACATTAATTTTAATAATTTTATAGAAATAAGCTTACTTCTTTTTCTAGTTCTTTGATTGTGTCGGATAGCATAGCCTTTTCGGCTTGCAAAAAATCTTGTATTTCTGTAGACTCCATTTCGGACGCTTGATTGGCTTGCAGAAGGGATTTTTGAGCAGCATAACTTTTTTCTAGATCCTTTGAAAAAAAAAAAATAGATAAGATAAAATTACAAAGATATTATGATCTATACGACATACCTTATGCAAAGAAGTACATAAATTGTTTAGATGGCTGATTTCTTTTTGTTGTTCATTTATTTTTGTGGAAGTGGACGTAACTTGTTTCTTTAATATTTCTAAGATATTTGTAGGAGACGGGTCCAAACAATCTGTAAAAAAATATATTAAAATATTACGATTTAAAAAAAATCATTGATGATGGTAATATTACCATTTATATGAAAAAGATTGCAAAGTCGCAAACTATAAGCATCGAGTTGTCTACAAGTGTCCAGATTTTCGTGATTCAGTCGTTCTTGAAATTGTTTAAGGCACTCTTGTTGTTCGTTAAACTCTTTTGTTTTAAAATCTAATTGTTCAGTCTTTTCCTTAAGCTCAGTCTCAAGCGCGTTGATCCTTTTCTCTACTAAATCCACCTGGCGCGTAAATTCAAAACAAATCATTAGTAAATCGTGCGCACAACGAACAAAATAATCAAGCCCACTAACCTGTACTTCGGCATCATTAATTTCTACCCTGTTTATTTCGACCGGAGGTAACAAGTTGCCAGACAGCACTTTAACTATGTCCTCGCCGGTCAGGCACGTTTGCGAACATATTTCGTGGTAAATCTTTGTCTTGACGGCCACCGGCGACCTGGCGGCCTTGGGAAGCGCGTGTTTGACAGACGAAAGCAGCGAAGAAGACGACGACGACGACGACGACGACGGCGGCGGATTATTAGCCGCAGCCGCGGCGTTATGAGCGAGAGCGCCCTGTTCGATGTGCTTCCGCCTCAGACTGGCCGCCCGGTTCAGACTGGGTTCCCTGGGCGGCGTCATAGTGGCGGCAGCAGCGGCGGTGTTATTGCTGTTGGCGGTGGCGGCGCTGGGGCTACCGTTCGTCGCGAGATTCTCCTTGGACTTTCTTTTGCGCCGCGGCAAAGTGTTGAATCTGTCCGCCGTTTTGGCCGTGTCGTACGTGCTCACCAGCTTTTTCACTGTGGAGATTTTCGACTGTTTGGCCACCGTGTTCAGATCGGTTCTTTTGCACGGTTCCGCCGTCCTCGGCGGACTGTTCCGGCAGTTCGTTTCGAAATGGAAAGACGACGACATCGTGCCGTAGTTGTGGCCGGGCAATTTCGGCGGACGGTCCGCCGCCGTCACCGCCGCCGTTCTGCGCCAGGTCGGCGTGGACGGTCTCGAGTAGGAGGCCATCGAGACCGGATAGCACGGCAGCGACGACGGGCCCGCTCCGCCGCAGCCGGTTTCCGCGGTCGGGCTAAACGGGCCCAGAGGACTCTTGCACGGGTCGTAACAGCCCGACGCCAGGCTGGAGTCGCAAGAGACGGCGGGCGTCACGTCCACGCCGCTGTCGCTGCCGCCGCAACCGCCGCCGCCGCCGCCGCCGACCCGGTCGGTTTCCTCGACGTTCAGGTGCAGCGCCGCGACCTTCCGCGGTTCCTCGTCGGGAGCGGCAATCGTCCCGTCGCCAATGTCCATGGCAGGAGTCGAAAATTCTGTAAACATGAAAAAAAAAAAAAAAACGTTCGATTACCGCAACTACGACTGTTAACGCGCGGACGCGGACACACAACAATGCGGCGGTGCAACGCGGACGCCAACTGTCGCTGCAACGTAACGCGACGTAACGATAACGCAATACGGGAAAGAGACGCGTGTCGGTCGGGACCCCGCTTTCGGGAACAGCTGACGTGTTCCGCGTGATTTTCAGGGTCAAAGGTAGGGAGGGCATCGCCGCCATCCTGTTGAATAGCCGCCCGTACGGCAGGGGCGTTGCCAAGGCGACTGCGTCTGGCCGCGTGTTATTGTCGACGGGGGCCCGGCGATGCGGCGGGACAGACGACGCGCCGGCACATTACTGTGCGGTGGTGTGTAGGTAAAACGGCAGCCGGCCTCGTTCGGAAACGCGGCGGCGGCGTGCACACAGCCGCCGGAACGGTGACCGGCGGCGACGTTTCGGCATTTCAACGGGGAGACGCGGGCGTTCCGAATCGGACCGGCTGTCCGCTCCGTTCGCACACACGCGTGTTCGCGGTTCACATTTCGATATTCGAATGCTAGTCAAAGGCTAGTGAATGTTATTCAAAGGCTTGTCGACGTCGCGGATACTAGACCGGGGCCGCGGTCGCGTTTGCTCGACTCGTCACTACGCCCCGGTTCACTACACGCGACGACGACGGTTTCCGTGACAGCGGTAAAAATCCCCCCCCCGGCGTCTCACTTCCGACCATGACATTTTTTACGGGCCAAGAGATGATATTTTCAAAATATAGGGCCGCCGGAGTGCATACATGTAGTCTGAATCCCTCGAATGACGGACACCCCCCCCCACCTCCGTCCTCCCCGACGGAAACGAGGCGCATCGACAACGTTCGTCCGTCGGCAACAAGAACCGACGGGAACCGCGCGTTTTTCGTTTACCGAGATAAGAAAACAAGCACTGTAAATGGCTAAATGGACCGTTGACAATACCGCGCGTCTTAAGATCGTATTAACATCGCAACATCGTCGCGGAGCGAACGTCTTATAATGTCCCTAAAGCGGTTTTGTCAGAGCCGGCCCGAGTGAGAATTTCGACAGTTCGCGGCAAAAATAACCGCTTTACGGGCCATTTGCGATTACGGCCCGAAATCGAAAACAAAACCGAACAAATTTAAAACGATTGCAATCTCTCAAACACGGATAATACAATGACGGTAATATTTGCGTAGCGGCATTTACGCTGTTCAATATTAAAAATTTAACCGCGACCGCGAAAATCCAAAGGCAATAATAATAATATTGTACGGGCACACCGACAGAACGTGTTGTTCCCGTGGCTGTTACACGCGGCGTACCGCGAGCGAAGCAGTTACCGCTACAGTTACGGACACTGTGGTTTACGGTGAACAACGTTCTTATCAATCCGATTTGCGATCGCTTTCAATTACATTATTTCTCGAATTTTCGATTTCGGCGGGCGCCGGGCGGCCGGCGCCACATTCGTCCACGGCCGATACCGCACCTCAATTACACACGCGTAACCGCTTCGGCAATGCTCGGTCCGCGTATAACATTGACATATTGTGCGGGAATCACGTTCTCGGGCCGTTATCGTCGTCGCGGTGTCGGACGTCTGCCTGCCCCGGTGCGTCCTGTACACTCGGTGTACCGCACCGCAGACCGGCGTTCGAAAATAAAACGGAGATTATCAGGCGAGCGCATAGCCACCGGACTGTTGCGGCCGCTGCCATCGGTAACCGCGTCGCCCAAGGAAACCGCGCGTGTACAGAGGGGTTCCGCGACGCGCACGGGCGTGTAATACACGGGTGTACAGGGTGTACCGTACGCCGAGCGCCTACGACGAGCGGAACAAACAACAACAACGGTAATCATAACGACGACGGTGACAAAACAATATGTTGTTGCGGACGGCGAAACGCGTTTGGCGGGAAATCTCCCCGCGAGACGGTCGGCGCCGGAACGCTCCCGGTCCCATCTCCCCCGTATTTTCGTATACTGCGGCGTCTGCTCGCGCACGATAGAGCCGTTATTGTTGCGAAATTTCACGGCGTTTTTTTTCCCTCGCCACACACACACACACAATGGGCACACCGCAGTTGTGTTTTTCCAAAACGCGTCCCCGAGTGGGAAAAAAGGGCCGCCCGCGCGTGCATTGTTTTACATCCGACGTCGGCGGTATGCGCGTACTGTTTCGAGTGAACGAGGAATTTAAAAATAAAAAAAAAAAAAAATTATGTATTTATATATACAGGGTGTATTCGCTAAGCGTGCTTAACACACAATTTTTGCTCTCTCACCACCCCCCTCTCACTGCCGTTAAGGTCTGCGCAAGCCTATGGTTATAACGCGATGTTAAGCACGAGAAATAACTATAGTTTTTTTTTTTTTTTTAAGGCGCTTTTAATTCTGACCGAAAAGCGACGTCGCTTTCTCGGCCATCGAAAATCTCAGTTGGTCCGGTATCACTTAGAGGCGGCCGTATATTCATCATTTTCGACTGTATACGTTATTGAACCGCCGTACGAATTGTGTCTGATCTCTGATAAATTATACACAACGCGATTTTCTCGAAGGGTTTTAGGTAAATTTCGTTTCTGATTTTTTTTTTTTTTTTTGCAATCGTTATGGAATTGTTTTGAATGCCTCTACACAAATGATGCTCCCAAACGACGCTAAGAGTGGATACAATTTTGTCCATGTATCTCGCGTTAATGTCAAGGATATATGTGCTTTCTGGGGGTTTCAATTTCCCTCTCCTACAATTTGTATGCCAAAACGACGCCATTTCGTTTTTTCTTTTGTCTTTTCTGAAAGTATTATGCACGGCTGTAAACGGAGAATAGAGTTCGATACACATATCTACAGAAATACAAAAATACTATAGTTTCATCCGCGATAATCCGGTAAGTATAAGTATTTTGTCGTGTATATGATTTGAAGTTGTTTACCGAACCACAATAATGGGGAACAATCAAACCTCACGACGCACGATTCACTTAAACACACACACGCATACAAACATAGGGATAATTTATATACAGGGCGATCGACATAGCGTAAGGCACTCAACATATTTATTAAAAAAAAATTCGGATTTTGTTACGTTACTTTTATTTTTTCGTCACCCATATTTTAGGGGATGAAACCTCCGCGACCTACTTTTGATTTTCAAACGGACACCTATGTCCTATATTTAAAATTGCGCGAAAAGACCGAGTGCTCGAATCAATTTCGGCGTTGAAATCGTATAATTTCCATCGACCCACGGTGGTGGTGGCGCGCAGCGTTTCAAATGTTTCAATAATGTCCCGCCACTCTCCCCACCTACCTACCTAACCTGAAAGTGGAACGACGTCTCGCCGACGGGAAATCGGAAATTCGAACGCAGAAACGCGTTATACCAAACGAATATCCAGTACCGAAAACCGGAAAAGCGGTTTCATCCCCGCGGAACACGAAAAACAAACCGCGACGTACCGTTTCAGTGCTATCGCACACCCGTACACACGTATCCGAACGTTCCAATAAACGAAATCCGAACGGCCGCGTGTACGCGGTATACTTTGCGGGAGGTAGCCCAACGAGCGTCTTACACGCTGTGCCGACCGCCCTGTATAAATTGTACACGGACCGGGTATACCCACAACACGGTGTACGCGAACGGTTGACATTTTGCACATGCACAATAATATATTACCGCGATACGTACGCCCGTTTACAGACGTAGATATACGTACAGTTAGGCACGCCGGCACATATAGATTATTAAGTGTATAGGAACACACGATGATGATAATAATAATAATATATAAACTTTGGCTCCGAATGTAATTCTGTCACGCGGAGAAACGGTACGCTATACTACACCGCGCTGCACCGTCACTGCACCGTCGCCGTTACTACCCCCGTACGACCAGATATCCAGCCATAACGTGTACAATGAAATATGAGGCACACTCCATATGGAAACTATACGGACGCGGCCGTCGTGTTCGATCCGCAATACGACCGCAGCGGTACACAACACGACACACGCTGCTACACTACTGCTTGCTGATCGTGTGTACCGCAAATAATATTATTATTATTATTATTATTATTATTATTATTATTATTATCATCATTATTAATGTGCGGAAATATATACGCGCGGGTATATCGCGAAAACCGAGTCTCGAGACGCGCGGTGTATAGTAGCGGTAACCCACTTTATAGTCGAGTTTATATTTACTGTTCTTCTTTTTTTTTTTTTTTGTTTTCGCGACGACCGACGACAAAAAAAAAAAAAAAAAATCTACTCGAAATATCGTTTTACTCCGCCTAGCACCCCCCCCCCCTCCCCGGTATTCCTCGAACAGAAACAATAATATTACGTTGGATTGAACGATATCCGCGCGTAGTATAACGGGGCCGGCGGTGATCTATACCGCTCCCGGTGACAGCCGTTATACGTAGATAGGTATATATATATGTATTTGAAATTGATTTCGGATTTTCTTTCAGGACGAATAAACGTACCGCCTCCCCCACCCCCTCCACCACTACACGCGATACATCCGGGGTCGGATTTTGAGGGTGGCGGCGGAGCACGGCCCCCGGGCCACTACCGAGGCTCCGGGGGCCTAGCCTAGGTTTTTGTCGAAAAGCGTGTGCATTTTGATTAATCGTTCAATTCGGATATCTTATTACTCTGGATATTTTTTCGCGTAATCTGATACGGTTTCCCGTAGTGGAAACCGTGCGTACGTTTTTATTCAAATTTAAATTTTATTTATTCTCTACCCGTTTATTAACAACTTACTATCTGCCTACAGTAACTTTTTCAAACGTCATTTCCGAAAGCGAATTTCGTCTAGTATCGAGGAGATGATTTTATTCATTTCTCTTGCAGCAGTTTTCTCAATAAGTTTTTGTATTATTTATCTTGAAGAAAAAATCCGTCTCGTCGAAAAATTTGATGTACGAGGCGTTTTGTTATGTTTCTAACCGCGGTAACCCAGGCGCCGTTGCGCCGACAATGCGGTTTTTGTCGAATTTTCGACGAAAAAAAGAGACCATTTTACTGTATATTGTGTCTTTTATAATAAATTGTCACATATAAGTGCATGTACGAGTGTATAACGTATTTTTCCCGCTACTTTTGAACATTTCTAGCGGTTTCATCTGGATCGAATGATGAACTTAAACTCCGAAATCGGCGTTGTTTTGAGAGCGGATTAAAGTGATAAAAGTTTGATTGAATTTCAGTATGAATTTAACCACGTTGTTGCTGATGCAGGGTGTTTTTTGTAGTTTATACACTCTAACTGCAGACTCTTCAAATAAAGTCAGGTGGATGACTTTTTGTATAATGCATGGCGTAAGTATCAGCAACGTGCTGTTATAGGGGGATTTTAAATTTCAACCCCTCCCCCCTACCATTTTTATAATGATATTTATTTTCCTGTAAATATAGTTAAATATTATTGTAGCATATAGTATACATAGTCAAAGGCGGAGAGTGGTCATTATGGGAATGGAAATTTACCTGATGGCCTGGTGTTTGTGTAAAAAGGTCATGACGAGACGCATATTATATTCTTATTTCGGTACAATATGTTTTAATATATATTTTCGCGGGGAAAAGGGGGGTCGAAACATTTCTCCCATCTTATCTTGAGCTATGCCTCAAGCACAAAAACGAAATTACTTCTCTTCAATTCAAAATTCCGGATTCGCCACTGGTTTTTGATTAAAACGCGAATTAAATTTTATTTGCAGGTAAATACATTTTTAGATTCTGAGCGAAGCGACGAATACATTTGGTTTTGTTACAATGTTTATTTTTTATTTTTTCTGAGGACAAATTTTCTACCAGATATTTTGCTCCGATTGTCAAACGTAAGTAGCACTTTTTCTGAAAACAAATTTGACTTTTTTCGGTTTTCTCAGATTTTTTCCCAATAAATGGGAAAAACGGGAAAACGTACGAAATGTATTATTCTAAAATCGTTAATATTACGGCATTTTATTTGCATTACTTATAATCGAACTCGGCTCAGAATCGCTTTTCGTTAGTACAGATTAATCGTTGCGTACACATTAAATTCCCCTATACATCATGATAACCCACCAACTTCTCAGCTACAACAGAGGCCCACTCCGTCGTACGGAGCAAATCCGTATTTTTTTTTAATCGTGTGACCCGAATACATTTTTATCTCCCGGCCCAAAGTCTGTTGCTCACCAATCCGTCTCCCCATGCCTTTATACAACACAATTGTCGCATTGTTACAGAATTAAGCAGTGTTCCGTTGCACACGTCTCTTCGCGCAAATAACATTATGTCTGTAACACGTAGCTATTGGCGTACGATAAATATTAGGCGGTGGAGACGATTCCACTCTGGTGACGGAATTCTCGCGCCGAGCCGCTAGCACGCGGGCGTTTTATTTTGTCGTCCGCGCGCGACAAAAGCCCAAACACGACGACGATAAAAATAAACAACAAACGCACTCTTCTCCAGCGTGTAAAATTCCGGAGAACGGACAGTGAATCCGAGTCGGGATAAATATAAAGTTTGGCACGTAAATAACTCCGGTCTGCCAATATATGCGACGGAATTGATACCGCGGCGGCGGCGGCGGCGGTGCTAATCTCGAGTAACGTGCGCGGTCAAGAGACGCCCAGCGCTCGCGCGATATTATTTCCGGTGCTGTCTTTTTTGTTTTTTTTTTTTTTTTTTACAGAAAAAAAATAAATAAAAAGCGGGGAAAAAAATTCGTCGTAAACATGCGTTTCGACACAATAACACCGCGCGATATCATTGTCCCGTCTTCAAATATTATAATGTTTTTACGTGCGCGCGTGTGACGTCATGTTATTACTGCGATGTTTAATCGAGTGTGCGTTATAATAGTAATATGTCCGGCAGTGACCCTCTCCGAGAGATATTATTATATTATTACGCGACAGACGGTTAGCAGATTGCATCGAAATCATCGTGGCAAACGGGATTCTGCACGCCATTGTCGGGGCCCGTTTATTCGGATAGTAGTCGACAGTTATAAAAAAAAAAATACTAAATACAAAACTACACACGATTCGCGTGTTGTATGCGGGTAGTTTATCGAGAAGGTAACACACGACGTACAGGGTAATTTAGTTCATACGTTTATACTGTACGCGGCGATTGCAAATGAGACAACGATTCTGAGCGGAGTAGTGTATTATTTTATAGTCGTAGAGCACGACTCGTGTTTTGCCCTCGTTGCCCAGAAATCAAAGAAAATCAAACAACAACAAACAAATGACCTAGGGTATGTGAACTGTTGGAAAATGCTTCGAATAAAAGTGAAATCAGATGAAAAACCCGATTTTTTTTCCCGGTTGGTAGTATAAAGTAGCATTTTCGCTAGCCGTAAAAGTGATTTTAAACGTTTCGAATAAAGTCAACTGTGCGTATACAGAAGTGTTCGAGAGTGAATACCGACAAACATAAAATCGCACCCCATCTGCAGACGGATCGCAACAAAACATTTATCCGGTTTGGGATCAGAGAGGGGAAATAACACGAACGAAATCGAGATCGAAGAAATAATAATTTGAAGCAAAAGTGCAGGACTCGGGACTTTTGACACCTAAATCGACAAACAAACGCTTAAGGACATAGAAACAACACTTGAAAATATTTATAAATTAAAAAGGGCAGGGAATTTAAACGTTTCCACTCCAATGGCTCTAACTTATTTCATAAAATTTATTGACACTACAAAAATAATAAACACAAAGTAATTTTTTTAAAAACAAAGTTGTACTATTGATAAAAAACAATTACTCTGTGTATTAATCATTTTCGCACCGTTTTAGACAATCGTGTTAAATAAGTTAGAGCTGTTGGACGGGGGAACTTTTAAACCGTTTTTTTTTTTTTGTATGAATTTTAAGAGCTGAAAGTCTGGATTATAAATAATTCGTCCAGTGAAAGGGGATACATATACATACAAATAATATGTATACAAAAGGTTTTCGACCGAACATTTACACCCGAACAACGTGGGGGGAAAAAAAAAACGTGACCGCGGTCATACCCATATCCAAAAGACAATCGACTGGCACGTTTTCTGTAAAATCGTTTGTTCGATCGTCACGAACAAAGTCGTCGTCGAAGGATACTTGCAGCCGCAACGGCTATCGACCTCTCTCTCTCTCGATAATGTACAATAATTATTATCGCAGCTATGGCTGCGCTAAAACAACGGAACAATCGTGTGTGTATTTGATACGCGTACACGAGAAACACACATCCGTGTTTGTGAGACGGCCAAACGTACGCGTTATACCGCGCGGTTACTAGACCGGAAAATAATTTAAACTTTTAAAAAAAAAAAAAAACCCGCCGAAAAATCCGAGGTAAATTGTATTTTAGCGGGGCCAATTTTATCGCGCGTCGTTTTTTCCCGTTAAAATTTATCCACACGCGCGTTCGTGGGTGGCACTCGATCGTTATTTATATTTATTTTAAACTTTTTTTTTCGGAATCGTGTGTATATACGACGAGACGAACCATATATAATATAGAGGGGTAAACGACCTATATTATCCGTGAACCAGATCGCCGTAATATACGCGGTTTACCATTTTAGAACGTACTGCACGTGGGCTAAACAACTGTTGGTCGTGTATAATAACAATAATAATAATTATAATAACGTCGGCTTGTCCGACTTGTTAATGAACGATTCGCAATGAAAAGTTCAAACGGCCACGGGACATCGTTTACCCACTTACGAAGGAACCCGCGCACTTATACAGCACGCAGTGTCGGGCCGGGCTGGAATTATTGCAGACGAATTGCGTAACCTGTACTTATTATCGAAATCGTGGCGTTCATGTCGAAATCGGGCGAGAAGTTTACACGAAACGCGCTCGAAAACGAATATTTTCGACGGCAACACGTTGCGTTGTTTTCCGGTTTTTCTAAAACAATCGGTGTACACGAAACGGTCACGTCCGCCGTTTTTGCCTTTTTGTTGTGTTTTGGAGATGGAGAGAGAGAGAGAGAGAGAGAGTGAGATAGAGAGGAAAAAGGATGTACTCGATGTGCCGTGACCTAGCGGATTCAGCGTTCGGTGCCAAATAAATTTACCGAAAAGCAAAAAAAAAAAAAAATAATAAAAGCCGTCACAATGTTTACGCTCAACACGCTAAAACCTAAAATAAAACATTGTAGAATTCGAAAACTTTCGTTGGCGCCCCCGTTAGGCACTGGGGCTCTGGACACATAGGTATTATATCGAACGTGCCCTCGCACATATTCTCTTCTTAAAATTTTGTTACCGGTACGCGTTTAGACTTCGGATTTCCATCTAAGCGTCAAACTGTTTAACTCCAAGTTACGCCGTGTCGTTATTTTGCTATGCCGCTCGTTATAGTTGTACCGGAACAGTCAATGCGGTTATCGCATATACGTTTACCAATACGGTAAACGCAGACGTTTCGTTCTCCGCGAACAAAAAAAAAAACAGACAAAAACTGATATTGCTCACGGGTACACAGACCGCTGCGCAGTTGTTGTAGGTGCGTGTCCCGAAGACAACGATAAATCGTCGCAAACAGAATACGATTTCGAGTTCGAACGTTTTGTTTGTTAAATATAAACGCGTAAAGTTATAAAACAATTTCCGTGCGATTTACGAGTTTCGTAAAAATTGGAAACTTATTCGAACGCTTTAAAAAAAAATAAACAACGAACAATACCCGCGACCTTTATGATTTTGTATCAAATTTTCGAGCATTCACGATAACGAGGACGGTGTCGTACATATTTTATTTACAAATCGAAAGCGCATCGCGCATCATATTATTATGGAGTAAAATCGATAAATTTTCCTCGCTTTCTACAGAATAAGAGAAAAAAAAAAAACCCGCGTCGTACTGAAATGAATCGAAAATTCAGTGTTAATAAACCAGTGTTTCTTAAACTGTGTTCCGCGAATAACTCGCAGGGGTTCCGAAAGGGCCTGGAAAAAGTTAATTACAATTTCACAACAATTGGCCATACGTAGATAACGGCGATGAAAAAAGCAAAATTAGCAACGACATACAGCGCATGTGCGAGCGCAGTGAGTTTAGTTAATTTTAGCGAGTGTTAGTGATTTTCCCTAGACAACTTTTCTCCCGTTGTCCCGTCACGTGTGCGCGTATAACAATTTATTATCGCCGATACGTGTAAACGAAATAAGTTAGATATGTTTTTAAAATAAAATATTATATTTTTATATTTTAGGGGTTTTAGGAGCATAGAAAAAAAAAATAAATATTGTTTGGCGTTCGGTAATTTCAAAAAGTTTAAGAAACACTAATACAAACAATATTTTATAGTGTATACAAAAATTACACACACGGGTTAACACGTATTCGTCACAAAAAAAAAAAAAAAACAAACAAACAACGGTAAAACATAATATTAAAAATTTACCGAAACATTCGAAGAGGGGGCGCACACTTTGAAATTCAATTCGGGTAGCCATATTAGAATGGCCAGTAGGTATTTCGCCCACGAACCGCACACCCCCGAATCTTTCCGAATCGAATCAAACGAACATTCGCTATATTCTTTAATAATTATGTATGTCTCTAGCGATTGCATCGGCCGCCCGACATTTTCGGTTTGGCGTCCGCAGAACAAAAACGATAGAACCGTAATTTTTTTTCGCGGCTATACTGCAGGTATATGAACAGCGAAAACACTCCTTAGTATTACGGATAGAGTCCACGGCGCTTCCGATTTGACATTCAAAAATATGACCGACGACTCTCGAGAGAGTTAAAAGCATAAAAAAAAAAAAAACCGCATCACCTACAACAAAATCGGATAAGCCTACTCTTTATACAATACTATACGTATACAGTGCATACTATATACGACCGAAATGCTGTGCCGTGTCACTTCTTTTCTGACATATTACAGCGCGGTGCGTATATTATTATTATCAATGGAACCGTTTGTGCGTGTCGCCGGACCAGAGCCGTTCTGATGTGCAGGTTTATGTAAATGTTGTTGTTTTTAACGTCTACATTTTCCGATAGCGATCCCAGAACGAAAAAACGAAAAAAACAAAACAAAACAAAAATAATAATAAAGTACAGACCGCGAGCAAAAGAGAAATATTTTAATTTTAAATTCGCTAGTCGGCGCCAGCCACGGTTTTTTTTTAATTTTATAACGACACTCGGCGATGCTGAATATTCCGATAAAAGAGACGGCACGTTTTACATATAAGGGTCCGAGCTATCACCGCGCCGCTGTCTTTCGATATTATTGCCGAATTTTGTTTGAATTTCGTTTTGTATATACGAAACGACCGCACACTATACACACACACACACACACACACATTCGTATATATATACGTTTAGAAGTACCAGCTACTTATATATAACGGATTTTTTCTACGTTAATTAAAAATCGAATCGAAGAAAGTAGGCGAATTGAAATTGGATTTGCCGTTTTCCCTCACCGGTACAGATTATTTCTTTCGTTCCGTCGACACTGCGACAACAGCAGCAGCAGCAGCAGCAGAACCGATAGCGCAGTATCGGTCGAGCAAGTTTTTTTTTTTTTTATAAGTAAAAAAAAAAAAAAATCTACGTGACAAATGAAGCATGGAGAAGAACGGAATATAATAATATAATATATTGAATTGGTTTTTATCCTTTTTTTTTTTCTCCGCAACGAAAATATTACAATATTTTTATCCCCCGCAGTCAACAGATGTGCGTCATGTGTTTGGGAAAAAAAAAAAAACAAAACGAAAACAACCATTTATGCCGTTCGTCGGGAGTATCTATCGGGTACACGCACATGTGGAAAACGTGCAATTAAAATTTTATGACATTATACGCACACTATATAGTTTTCGAACAAGAAAATTTAACGAGTAACACCCCAAACCCCTCCCCCGCTACCAGCACCAGCACCGCCGCCACTGACCGTATAGTTGATTTCTCATACATAACGTAACGCACAGTGTAATGCAATTTATATATTTAAGTATACAGTACATACACACGCGGTGAATACGTTGTATCGGTTATTACTACACCTACTCGGCGTGAATATTATAAACGCCCCGTGACTAATTCCCGTAACTACGCTCGCCGGTAGCGTATTTGCAGATCCTATCCGATTTCGTACATAAAACGTAATTTCGAGTGGGTTTCAGGAGGTTTGCAAAACTAGCTGCCGGTTTATTTCCAAAGGAACCGGAATAAATCTAAAACCTACTATCTAGTCGACGAATAGCCCATCCACGGGCTTAAATAAACCAGAACGAGAGAGGAGACATAGAAAAACTTAACCTACCCGTTGGTTCGAACCTTACGACACTCCAGGGAAGTTACTATAATAGTGCCAAATAATTGTAAACCTTAAACCTTAATAATGGACGAAAAACTACGACGAGTTGCGTATTTACATAGCGCTTGACCCGAACTAGAAGTAGGTCTGCAAATACGCCACCCGGTTTACGTGTCATCGACTGTATCCTATTCGTACTACCGATCACCGGTTACGTGGAGAAAATATTAGTGTATAAACTGTATTCGGTCAAAAAAATCCTTTTTTTTTTAAGACAGTTGGCAAAGTGGTCTTGTAGCTGATTCCACTAAAAAAAGAAAAGAAAAAGAGTCCAAGACGTCCCCCTTTGGGTATTAAGTTTGTATACTGAAAAGGCAACGATAAATCATCCTTGAAAGTAAAATAAGATTTTCGGTTGAGTTCGGTTAACTGGTTAGAGGTTAGACAACTAGACGTCAGTTTTTTTTTTTTTTTGTAACCATTATCGGCGGGTATAGTAAAATTATAATATTAAAAAAAAATCAGAGTAAACCGCGGACCGACACACGAAAACTAGTAGTGTAACCGGTATCGTCGTCGTCAGATTCACTTTTTTATCGTTTTTTTTTTTATTTCAAGGTCACAACATAACTAAACCACCGGAACTTTTACCGACGGCAGAGACCGTCGTCCCGGTGAAAGGAATGACCGGCCCGAACTCCATGGTGTCACAATACTATATAATATTATAATATTTTATTTGTATAGCGGAAAAAAAATCCTGAAAGAGGTGTCTATGCTTTCTATGCATGTAATATTATGGTGTACCGTCGCAATAACCTCAACCATGCGACCGACACACGGTTGCCGACGATACCCTTTCGCCTCTCCGGAGGATTTGTCCAAATAGTATTAGACGACATTATAAATGATATAATAATTACATCGAAAAATATCCCGTTTCCGTAATATAATAGGTCTTAAGAGTGGGCATAAAATGACAAAGGTCATACTTTACTACAATACTTAATATACATTGGGCATTTAACGAAGAAAAAAGAAGTCATTAAATTAAAAAGAAAAAGTTATGACCCTTTATGTAATAGAGAAACGTGAGCGTTATGAAAAAAAGCCATAATATACGGAGCCACAGAGATTCTATGAAAGGCCGAATACTATATATACTAGAAGTAGACGTCATGAACGGGTAGGCTACGTATTTAGAGCGGATGAAAAAATCATGAAACACGTAGTAAAATATAACAGGGAGACCTCGTACGAGACGGAAGGGTTCTGTTTTGAATGGTTTGGTAAAAATGCAAGAATGAATTCGGGTAAATTTAGCTCATCGGCATATAGAGAGAAATGAAAGAAGTTTGTAGTGGATGTGATGGCCGATGGACCTTAAGCTGTACATGCATGATTGAATGAAATTTGAAAAGAATTGCAGAAGGAAGCGGATTTATCGCCAGTTCAGAAAGGTCAGAGAATTTATTGGTTGCGGGGACATATAATGATGCGAATAAACGGGGAAAAAGCCGTCAAAGCTTACTTGGAATGGAAACCACCAAAAGGGAAGAAACCATGGGGTAGGACATGTGTAAGAAGCGTATAAGACGTATAGATAGTAAAAGAATCACAAGAACGGAGGAAATAGTTCAAGACCAGGAGTTACGGAGGAATGTAATCAAACCGACATTTGTATAATACCTGACACGCTGGTATGCAAAAGAGAGGTTCGCCACATTTTTTCATTGTTAAAAAAAATCCTCAACCACTGTCGAATGTGCGAATTAATTAATTTGCGCTAATCTCAATAATACATCAATATTATGATATAAAATAAAATTATTCTCGATAAAACGCGATCCTTTATGTTACGATAAAAACGATAACATTTCGAAAAAAAAAAAAAATACCAAAGAGTACGAGTTTTTCAAGTTTCCCCTCCCCGAATGAACCCGGGTCGTCGATTAAATGGAACGGCGGGCCGCGAGGTTCTCGGGGGGGAGGGTTTTTTTTTTGTTTTCTCCGCGAGACAAAGGATTCCGATGTTTACAAATTATACACGTGTTTCCCGCCTAATAACATATATTACGACCGGATAAAAATATGGCGGTGTCGTGGAAACGTCCGCTGCTGCGTCTGTAGTACCCAACCACCCTCGCACACCCGCCCTCCTGCCCAGTACGAAACTGGTTTTTATTTCGATTTTTTACACGCGATGTGACGATCGCGCGCCGGCCGAAATTAATCGAGTGGTTTTCCTTGAGACGAACTTTGTTGGGTGTTTTGTTTTTTAATTTTTTTTTTTTTCAACTAGACGATCGCGTTGTCCAGTTGAAACAAAATAAAAACTCCGTGAAGCTTCGATACACAATAACGCAATGTATTTATGATAATTTCAGAAACTAGTTATCGGAAACGTTATCATCACTGGCCACGACAACGCGGTAATAAATTAATGATCCGGTTTTTTTTTTTTTTTTTTTTATAATAATAATTCTCCGTATTCATAATATTTGTGTTCATACACCGCGATTAAAACGCGTACTCTTTACGATCGAAAATCACGTATAAATAGCGCATTGTCCGCGTATTTTCTTTTTCGACGCATGTCAATAACTCCTAACTATTATATAGGAACAATATTTCCGAAATATATTCCAATACATAGGAAATTATTGAAATTACCCAACGCACACGACGATAATATTGTGATAAGAAAATAATAAATTATTCAAAAGGCAAATGTTACTGCTATATAAACATTATAATGTTTAATATTCTATCTCAGACCGGATTATTATTTAGCTAAAGGAGAGAATAATATTCGTATAAAATATTATTATTAGTAGTATAGCCGGCACTACTGTAGTAGGGTTGTCGTCCTGCCGTCGTCGTATAGTTTATAAGTAGTAATAATCTTATTTGTTCACTTCGAAATTCTCGAATATTGTTCGTAGCCGCAAATGCACTAATACTATTGCTATTTATACTATACTACTGTAATTTAAATATATTATTACGTATTATTATACAGACCGAAACATTTTCCTTTCGATTACATCCCCGTACAATATACAGAGTGTATCTGCAGGATCTGGTAATTTTCTGACGTAAACCGCCGGATAAAGGAGGGGATTTGGTGCGAGACAGGCCTAGAAACCGGAGAACAAGAAGAGAAAATTAGAAATAACACTGCAGTCTAAACGGGGCTGGACAGTTGATGGGAGAAAAATATATATATTGAAAAATAACGTTTTTATCGAAAGGTCGAAAATTTGACGGGAGAGAGCGTATTTTTCACTTCGGTCTGATATGAATTATTCGGGTCGGCAGCCGCGATAAAAGGTCAACAATTAACTAGGTACCTATTAGAATAATGTTTTTGTTGTTTACGCACAGTAATTATGTATTCAATTGTTACGCTTTTGGACATTAACACCTAAGATGATTTTTTACTTTTCAATTATTTATTCGAATTTCGTGTTCAATAATTATTGGATACTCGTTCAATAATATGCTATATCTACCATGAATGTTCATTATCTGCCGTAATTTTACGTCGATTTGAAATGCTAACTACAAATAAAAATTGTCTTACAATGCGGTATTTCTACTTTGTAAATTTTTTCCGAATCACGTTTCCCACTATTTTTAAGAACTTCATTTACAATTCACCAACGCAAATTGTTTCGGTTTTTAATAGATATTCGTTCATTAGAAAATAAATCGGGTTTTTTTTGAAACTTGCATACATTTTTTTCATTTTGAACGATACTTCGACATGAATAACTCATAGTTGATTCATTTTTATTGTAAAAAGCCTAATATTAATTCCGAAATGATAAATTGTATACAGGTATGCACTACAGTCGGTAGCATATCATACTAAACCACTTAACGTGCGGTAGACAGCATATTGAACGGGTACCAATAATATTGTTCTGCGTAGAATGAAACACAATCGCGGACATTGAAGTACAAATCGTAGGTACTTAACGTTATTGGTTAAATGTTCGACGAAACAACGTAACTGTTCAAAACCTGTACAAAACTGTACCTAACCGGCGGTATTGTCGGACCTAATAAGGCCGGGTGTTTTAAACGACATGTTGTTAGTTATTTTATACAGATACAATACAAAACCTTTTTAGTTTCGAAGATATGAATATAATATATTTATATATTTTTTTTTTTCATATCGTGTTACTATATACGTACGTTTAATTATTATAAGAACGGAAGTAGTTATAGTTCATAACACAGTGAACTCTATTATTATATTCGACGGCAGTGAAAACAATGGATACTTTTTCTCGTAAAATTATTAATATTACAATATTTAAAAAGTGTAGTTTCTCACCCGACGATTAAACGATTTAAATGAAAAAAAAAAAAAAAAAACTCACTACAAACTGTTTTACCGGTAGCCGTCTGCGGTTTTTTAAACGATGTTTATAATTTATTTTAAACGTTTAGAAAAGAAAGAAATCAGAAATTCTCCAGAGAAAACTTTTTCCACACACTGTATATAGCGTAGTAGTGTACGTAAAAACAGTATAATACGCAATGTAAATTTCGAAATAATTACTATCCAATCATAGAGCTTCGAAAAAAAGAACACATAGTTCTAATAGGCATAACTTTTATACCACGATAATAATACGATCATACACCTGAGTAAAGGATACGAAATGACATCTAAAAAGGCAGAAATTAAATTAGATAATTAACTATCACTTATACTGATTGCGATGCTGCTTAGACTTCAACCGAATGGACTGAGATGAGAAAAGATTGAGAATTTTTGTATGGGGGAAGTTTGGAGGAACATGGCGAATGAGGTTAAACAGAGAACTGTAGAATATTGTGAAACTGCAGTGTTATAGGCTTCGTTAAGTGGACAAAGGGCGCAAGGGTTGGGTCACTAATGATGGGGAGATGAACAAACGAGACGGTCAGTGTAGCAACGTAATTGATAACCCGAGAAAAATTAGACTTCGAGAACGATACGGGAAAAATGGAGTGACGTGGAAGATTTCAAAAGTGTGGGGTTTAGAAACTGTAGAGAGGTAGTTCCAAGACAGAGATGGGTAACGAAGGGTCGTAGTAATGGTGACAAAACTCGTGGAGAGTTGGTGTATGTCACTAGAAAAAGAAAATAGAATAGAGAAAACAGCGATTTTAACTCACAGTCTTTTAGAACGATATTTAATGTAGTTTTTTTTCTCGGTTTTTTTTTATAATTTTATTTATTTTCATGCACACTGTTTCGAATGAAAACGTATTCATTATTGAAATTATACATTCGTGTGTACGCTAGGGACGTAAGTCTGCGCACAGTTATTTCATTCGACAAAGTTTCCTAACTATCCAAACATTGTTATTCGGGACGGATAGTATATTATATTATAATATTGTATAGTTTACTGAATGTCGTATTGTGCATATAAGTTTCAAGGAATAACGTGCACCGCGAATATCCCGACCAGATATACACATTAAATTGCAGGTCTGGACAAACAGCAAAATCTTCACCCCCCCCCCCCTTCCGTCAAAAATCTAAAATATTGCCGAATAACGAGATATAGGCGATGTTCTCTCGTCAAACAATCCAAAACACCTCTCTCACGTCCCGTTTCGCGGGGAAGGGTGATGAAAATTTCATCGTTTAATATCGGCGGCGGAACACGTTAATTCGCTTACATCGGTACGGTTCCTTTGGCTTTTCCCTCTCGTTCCGTTCGGACTTTGACAGTTTGGCATTTGGCGCGCTCGCGCGTAGAAAATAAAAAGGACATTTTTGGATTAAACCCAAATCTCCGGCACGAGGGTGGGGCTGGAGGGGGAAATGTATTAAACTTGACGTGCGGTGCTGCTGTTCATTCCGCGACGATGGATTAATTATTACCGTCGTCGTCGTCGTTTCCGATCTAACGAAAATAATAATAATAATAATAATGATGTTTTCCGAGCAGCGTTGTGAAATGCATATAATACACGCCACCGCACGGCATCACGCACATGCAGTTATTTAGAGAGACACGGTCCAACGACGTTATATATAAAAAAAAAAAAAAAAAAAAAAGGTCCGAACCGCACGGGCGTTCGCTCGTGCGTTAACCCGTCGTTAGTACTGGTACTATTTAACGTTATATAACGCGCCGGACGAATAAATAAAGTGTTACGAACTAATCGCGTTTCGCAGATAATAATAATAATAATAATAATAATAACATTATTGTATTACCCCGCTGTCCTATATATAAATATATGTACAAGCATAAGCCGCATACGTCATTACACTTTCTAAATAAATTGATTATCGAAACGCGCGATTGCTAATGGAAATTCTCGTTCTAGCGCGACACACTATCGTTATACTACGCGTACATCGGTAAAGGCTTGAAACAATATTAAAAAAAAAAAAAAAAGGTCCGAACCGCACGGGCGTTCGCTCGTGCGTTAATCCGCGAAAACATTCTGAGCTTGTGAACGTGATTTCGACGGCCACCCCGCAGTCACCTAGCGCACGCATCCTCAGACGCGGCTATGGTCCGGAGCGTCGCGTCGCAGAGTTTCGGCGGCAAATAGTTTTCTTCCAAACGCGTACGGTCAAGCGAAATGAGACGCGATGTACACCACCCGTCATCGCGTTACGTTTCCGTACGCACCGTGAGTACGTAGCGGCGACGATCGCCCCCCCCCCCCCCCCATCCACTGCCCCTCCCCCCGGGGGGCCCGCGCAAAAGCTTACTCGGTCTGAACTTTTTCGGTAACTCTTTCGGTTTCGCGACCCGCACTCGTGGCGGCGTGTACTGGCAAGATGCGAGAACACAATGCGTACACACATGCATACGTGCACACATACACACATGCATGCATATGTATATTATACACGGGACCGTTATACTTAAGCTGTTTACACGAATAATAATGTATTTAAGTATCAAACTTGGCGCTTGTTTTCGACGCGATAAGTATTACACGCGGACGTAGGTGTACAGGGCCCGGTGAATTATTATACACAAATAATACCGCGCCGCCGTATTAAAACCCGGGACGCGTTGCCTTTACACCGCGCAGTTATACACACAAAGCGACTGCATCGCGAATAATAATGGATTATACATAATATTGTAGTACACTATCAAAATAATAATCTCAACGGCTAACGAATTTCCACGCGACAGTAATAATTTTCGCAGCGATTGTGCAAACGTACGGGTGCGAAAAAAAGAAAAAAGGGCGCCCTAGTATAACGGGGACCGGCGCGGCCACTGTTGTCGTGGGTGAGAGGTTGAGAAGGTATTGTGTAGACGGGAAATTTGGGAAGCGCGTAAAAACCTGAACCCGGAATGTAAAAAACTTGGACGGCACAAATCTGGTGGAACATAAAATTTTTAAATCCGTAAAAATCTGGACGATGCAAATCCGGACGGTACAAAACTGGAATAGAAAATTGTAATACTTGGAGAAATGCTTGAACGTTTGTCACAAGGTTCTTTATGAGTTATACGCGCGGAAGTTGTTTTAAATATTAAATGCCAAATTTATATCATTCAGATTTTTACGGATTTCAAAATTGTGTACTCCATATTCGTACCTTACAGGTATGTACCGTCCAAATTTTTACGCGCTCCCGTAAATTGGAGCAAGATTTCTGGTCGAAAAGTTGTTCCCGGATAAAAAAAAAAAATAACATTGTAAAACCAATATACATTCTTCGGTCTACTCAGAATCTAAAGAAGAGTCGATATTATCCGATTATTTCCGTGCCGAGGGCGTCTGCAGAAATATAAGCCTGTGGAGAGGAGAGTAAGTCCAAAATTATACACCTATTGTCGATGTGAAAAAAAAAAAATCGAACACAATTTTATCTAAATTGCCGGACTTCCGGCTAATATTTAATCGAACTCAGAATCCTGTGATTTGTACGATTTCTTTACAAAATTTAACTCAAAACACTTATATCAAAAAAAAAAAAAAAAACTGCAATTTATTACTCGGCAAATGTCTATATGAAAAGTTCGAAAATTGCTGTAACCTGTTGAATATTTTACCGCGTCTAAAAAACGCATTCTGCGATTATTTACATCGCTTTTTACATATTTACTATTTTTTTTAAACCAAATTCCATAAACAAAAGAACGAAAAATGACTTAACCAATGTACCAATAATAGACAAAATATGGAAAAATAATGAAAATAACAAAAGAATGTATGGGAATATTATGAACAAGACATAATATTATATTTTGTAATCGATTTTCGAGTTTAGAGGAATAAACGTTCACTATTTTGTGAGAGGCACTAAAAATAAAACAAAAATTAGAAAATTCCGTCTAAAATCCAATAACAATATTTTTCATTATACTATACCGAATAGCCCCTACAGTTTCGTAATCACCCTTTTTATGTAAATAAAGTTCTCGACTAGACTTCATCGGACATGTTTGCACATTTCAATGAAACCGCAGCTGATGACGTGGGGCGTATTTGTCGACTAAATAGTTATACTTGTCGGTAAGTAAATTTAACTAAACAAAAATAATAATAAAAGCGTTCCTCGTCGAAATATTTCAGCGTATAGAATTTTTAATTTTTATATTCTGAGCATAACGAGGAATGTAGTATTGGTTTTACTACAATGAGTTTTTGTGTGTGTGTGTGTGTGTGTGTGTAAAATTAAAAACTCTTCTACCAGAAATATTGCCGCAATTAAAAACCTATAAAAGTACTTTCTTACAGGATTTTTGATAAAGTCGGTAAATTGGGACGGTAACTTTTTGATGTTACTTATAGTTTTCTTAATAAATGGGTAAAACTAAAAACTGGCAACTTGAATTTTTTATACAACTTTTATTGATTTTAGGGTAGGTACCTTGGTAACAAAGGAAAAACACATCTAATAAAACACTGCTTAGAATCGTTCTTCGTTAGCAAAGGTTTATAGGCTTATTAATTTAATTATGCTAAATATCTTCTCGTCCGACTTTTCTCCTAAAACAACGGCATATCTATCAACAGTATCAGCATTTTTTTTTTTTTTTTTTTTTTTTTTGTAAAAATAGAAAGGAATACAGATATATATATTAGGAGTTGGATACCCATGCTGTCCAACCGCTCATATCTTTAAAATTAAAAGATATTTCAGGTACAATAAATACATTCGAATAATGGTTTTTGTTATTAAACTTTTTAAATATGATAATCTATTGTTACAGTTTTAAACTGTCAGATCTTTGAAATTAATATATACATTTAATAAAATAAAAAGCCGGTAGAATGCATTTTCGTAAACGTACATAACGCTATGTATGATGGTTAAAAAGAAAATTATGATACTACTCTGAGGGCGTATAAAATATACTAAAACAATAACAGAGTGGTGAAAATTTCCGGCCTCGGGGTTATTATATTTTCCGAGTTACGACAAAATATATTATAACTATAGTGAATTTTATTAAAAACGCTTGTCGTAATTTTCATTTTATTTTTATTTTTTGTACAGCAGTATAGCTTTTGCAATTTTCTCGACAACTACACGGAAATTCGAAAAAAATGATCTCTGAGTACCATCTGTCTATAAAAGTAATACATAAAACTTTTGAACCACTCTTCCTACTTAAAGGAAAAAACCTACGAAGTCGTAACTCAAAAAAAAAAAAACAAAAACAAAAACAAAACAAAATCGTTATTGTAAAACCAATATATATTCCTCATACAGAATATAAAAAGAAATAAACATGTACCTACTGTAATAATAAATCTATATTTGAAAGTAAATAGTTTGTTATTATAAAAAGTTTTAATAGCGAATATTGTTTTTAAAACGAAATAATTCTATACGGGCAAGTAACAAAAAAGTATTACCCATAAAAAATTATAAGAACTGTTCTGTTGACAAAACGAATTGTGTACAAATCACGTACTTACGTATTTTGATGAAATATATTAATAGAGTAGTATTCGAAATTTTAATTGTCAACCACGTAAAACCAACCACATAAAACTTAAAATATTCGACATTTTCAAATAGCTGTAAATAGTTTAAAAATTAACAGAATTTTTTGAACATTTTGACGCGTCTAGAAAATAATTAATATTAGTATTCTGTAAAAAAAAAAAAAAATACAGTTCTTTACAATTATTTTTACAGGAATTTTAACCTATTGACTAAACAAAGCGTTCTACTGCAGAAATCATCCTCACGGAATCGATGATCGGGAACGAAATTTCTGGTAGGGCAAACACGAAAAAAATAAAAAAGCCCAAATCTGCATAGTAAAACCAAACAGGTGCACTCCTCATCGATTCGCTCAGAGTCTAAAAAATACTCATGTTTAGAGGGAAAATTATGTTTAATGTAGGTATAATATTATCGAGGTTAAAAACGCAGGTAAATTTTATGGAAAATGTAAATCCGTCGTCGTCAGACATTTGACGCCCGCAAACTTGAATGCCACGTACATTACACCGGGTCATCTTTATTTGATGTTTTGCGAGAAAATGTCACGAAAAGGTCGGCGTACTACCGTATTATCACGGGCCAGTATAATAAATCATATTACCTGCTTAGTATTATGCAGTGTGTGTGGTCGGTATTATTCAAAAAAAAAAAAAAAATAATAAAAAAATACCAACCAGACAATATGTTTTTATTTTATTCTTCTCTGAAATTTGAATACCCACTTCACTTTTATGCAATTCGGTGCCTACCGAATATTATAACGAAAATATTGCGTTGAAGAAGATGCTCGCCGTTAAGGACTCCGCCGGACGATGTAATGTACAGGAACTGATAGGGGTGTCCGTTACACGCGTAACGAACAACACGGTCACACGCGTGTTTGTATGCGTCACGGGATTGAGACTCGCGTGATAAAAATACACGTGAATACCCGTGTGGTCGAATGTGTACGGAGTATTTGACGAAACGCGTAAAAACCACGAAATTTCGCGTACTATTCGGCGATGCGTGGCGACAACAAATATTCGTTCAACATAATTTAAATCGACACGACATACCCGAGTTAATAATCAAACACTGGTGTCGGGTGTTCAATGTACACGGGCATTGATGTAAAATACACGTATATTGATATTTGTGTAGTCCGAGTACACGACCTGCAATACTCTCTAGTAGCCGTTCACGTCTACGACCCCTAATAGCGAACCGTTGGCCGTCTCTGCTGCGCGTATATTATACAGTTTAAATTATGCAGAAATCTGAGGCTTTTTGTATTTTAAATTTTATAAAACACGTTTTATTCAAAGTATAGAGTTTAATAAAAAAAAAAAACTTTTCATCTATTATAGATACCTATTATACTGGTCGGTGGCCATATACCTAATACTCCTACAACGATTTCACTAATTTATTTGCGCGTAGAAAAAGTTTACGATTCGTTTTCGACTGTGAAATATACGTAGGTATAAATTAGGCGTGTTACAGTCCGTTAAAAAAAAAAATAAAAAATATTTCCATAAAATGTTTACAAAAACGTAAATCTCGTATTCAGTACACAAGGCACGCACATAAAATAGCCGCAGGTAAATAATACACGACTAATTTTCTTTTAAAATCGGGTAGGGTAGGTATTATACGACTAATTATCATTTAAATACTTTGTATCTATCATTGTTCGTTTTTGTCGAAACCTAAAGAATGACGATCCCGGCGGTTTTCCAACCGCGAACGGCTTCCAAAAAAATAAAAACCGAACAATTCGTTCGTTATTATTATAATCGAACGGATAGACGGTGAAAATTGGCCGTTTAGTACCAAAAGCCGTACACGGTATTAGCTACATATATACGTATATCGGTATAAATTAGCGAGGTACAGGTACCAGTGTACCACAACTCGATTAATTATTTTACTAGACGGCCGCCGACGTTAAGCGCACCAGTGTACATTGTGATAATGTGTTGTGTACAGATACAAAATGATCACAATATATTATTTGCATTGCATTGTTACCGTAGACCTTTTCAGGCTGTCTATGATTGTTGTCTATACATTGTCTAATAATAATAATATTGACTACGTGAAATCTGCGCGTAGTCGACGGATTAAGTACAGTAATATTCAAACCATGGTGGTAAGCAGCTCCACAATGATACCGGAATACCAAATCTGAACGTATGGATCAAAGAAAAATTCAAGATATTCCACTGAAGACTCAAGTCTACTGAAGGTGTCCTCCATTATAAAATTGGGAAACAAAAAGGAAACTGCAAACTAAAACCACGCCTTTCTCAGGATGTTTTTTTATCTCGTCATCATCATCATCATCATCATCATCATCATTTGAATCCAAATCGTTGTAACTACTCCCGTTATATTATCGTGAACACGTTATTTGACATGTTCTATATTCGTATATTCTAATATCTAACTAATGTAGCCACTAGTAACCATTAATAACCTTAGTAAATTGTTAAATATTTAGCCACTACTCATCAATCGGTTTTTATCACATACAATACTTTATAACGAACTGATAACAATGTTTTTATCCGGTAAAATATTCTACTTATAATACAGTTCTCGGTAAAATTAAAATCTCCGCAAAAATTATTGATAAAAATCCACGCGAATGTGCGCGTATCACTGCGACGATTTTTCGAATGACTCTAATTTATGGTTGTGGAGTACTGTTATCACTGATTACACGTGGGAGTGACTGAAGTCGACGGTGAAAATAATAACGATAATACTATGAAACAGGCGATTTTGAGATTTGAATAAATACATAATAATAATAATAATAATATACGAAATACACCAATTCTCATTCGATGAATATAAATATTATTAATAATGAAATTAATTTAAGTATCAATTTTAATTTGTTGTTCTTATAACCAATTTATAAGTTATGCTCAATAAGTTATTATTTTTCAATAATTATGCACAACATACCGTTACACAGTTGTTAATCAAGTTGGTATATGATGTTGAACCTCAGATCATATACAATAGATATATTGAGATGTATGTAGATGATACAGATCTACGGAGCTATACCTCATGTGAAACGAGTGTGTCGCCAACATATTATCAAGAGGGCGTGTAGCTTCTGCGCATGCGTCACCATCTTCATAATGCCATTAAAAATTGGATATTGATTATTCAGATTTACATTTTACAGTAGTTATATTATATTTATAATTCTGTGATATTTTATTGGGTGGGCTGTGATAAGACAAAGACTGATAACACTACTTCACGTATGCTCAAAAGTGAGATGCCCCCTTGATACGTTGGCGACACGTTTTATTGCGTATAGCTCTATCCATTGTACACAATCTAACGAACAGCCATAAACGGAATAATGGCATGACAATCGGACAAAATAATGACTAGGCAGTGGACAACGAATTTGACGACGTTACAAACACGCACGCACAAACATCGGACCATAGATAAGAAGACGTGAGTTAGCGCTACCGGTGGTCGTATGGAGTACAACTAACACGGTCCGAATCTTTCGTACAAGGTGTTACACTGTCCTGATATTGTTTTTGCACGCATATTATACCTAGTAATATAGAGTGGGTCATATATTATTAAACGTTTATAAACCACGAAATACCAATGAGAAAATATGAATGCGGTACCCGTCGACTGTCCGCGTTTCGCGGTCGTGAGACAATTATTGTGGGAATATATCGATTTAAAACAACGACGGTACGAAAGTCGCGTCGACAATGTTTTACGATAGCGGTTTAATACTAAAAAACAGGTACTAGAAAAAAAAAATCAATTAATTTCAATAAAGTTTCGCCACGATTTTCGCGATCGTCTACTATTAAACCTACGTTCGAAATAAAACACGAATAAAGTGTGGGTAATGTCGGCAAACATTATAGCTATTAATCCCCGGCTATTGCATACTAAACCGCAATTTCGGCTTTCGTACGTTTGGAAAAAAAAAAAATCGCCCAAACAACCTTGTGAATCGAGCGCGACAGTTATAAATTATCGATTTTTTTTTCTTCTTAACCGTCCGTAATCTCCAATAATATTATAGTCCGTATATTATAAATCCGTTACATTAGCCCCCCTCGCAAAATTGGAATTTCGTTAAAAAATTTACATCAACAATTGTTATTCTATATGTACAAATTTGTAATCGCAAATTCCGAATTTGTACACCACTCAGAACCCGTGAAAATCACAATTTACACTAGTTATACCTTTTTTTTTATTATTATTTTTTTTTGTTGTTGTAATTAAGTTAAAAATATTCGTAAAAACTTGACATTTTGACGGAAAACTTATATTTGCCTTATATAGACGTGATAAAATGTTCAAATCATTTGAGCTATTTTTATGCAATTTAAGATATTTAAATTTTGCAAGTTTTTACGTAATTTTTATTTGGCAGGTACTTAGTTGATGGACAAAATTGTTAGGCTAGATAAAAATGCTTGACCATTTGATATGCGGTTCATTATAAGTTGAACTTAGTGGTAAAAAAAGAAAAATATTGATTGTTATGTAGTAATTTTTTTTTTTTTTTTTATAACAGTTTTAAAATTTAATTTTAACAAAAATCGTTAATTGGATGACATTTTAAAACACGAATTACTGAACTTGTTTCTAAATCATTTTTCGTTAATAATGGCTTATTATTGCTTACAGATATAAATGAATTACCTCCATGTTTTCACCTTCCAAACTTCCCATTCACAACAGTGGCACACCCTAACCCAGTATCAGCTCTTTTTTTAGATTTTGAGTGGAGCGAGGAATATATTGGCTTTATAACCATGTGTATTTATTTGTTTTTTCTGTGGATAGCTTTTTTACTAGACATTTTGCTCCGATTTTCACTGATAGTAGCTACTTTTTCTAAAAGGAAATCTGACTGGAGAGATATTTTTAAGGGGTCATATTTTGATTTCCCAAGGAGTTTTCATAATTTTTTACATTCAATAATGGCACAGCACATTAAAACTACACGACTGAGAACGTTATGAATGACAATTGACACAAAAAAAAAAAATAGTTAAAATTTTAATTTAAAATCAAGCAGTACACAATAAAATAATAACTTGTTATAAATATATGTAACTACTAACTTACAAGATTACAGCAAATACATGTTCAAATCGGTAGTTATAACACACTGAAAAAACCACAAGCGATGGGTTAAGGTTTAAAATTAAACAACATGCTCACAATTTTACAAACACGTATAATAATATTATTAATAACTTTAACTTATAATCAAAATAGAATGATAAAATTGTTATTATTACCTATAATATAGTTAAAGTTGGTTACAAAGTATATACATCAAAATAAATAATAATCATAACATATCTATTCTGCAAGTCGCTACCGGTGCAACTTGATATACTTATTTTCCATTGGATTCATTTTTTCAAACCTTTGATTAATTTTTTTTTACGTGAACGATATTATTGTGATACAAATAATAATATCTCCCTTTGTTGGTACTTACTGTTTGGGTTAATGTATCGATCGAACAATATTGTATTGTATAAACTCCCATTGAAGCACAGAGATGATATTTCATTTTAAAATACCCAATATACTAACATATACGGATGAAATCAAACAATTCGTAGAATATACGCATAAAAATGTAAAATTACTTATATAGTAGTTTTTTTTTTTCTATATATATATATTACCCATAATCACATGGTTATGAAAAAATAAAAAATAAATCTTTTCTCGTATCAATTAGTTACGATACACAAATTCGATTTTCGATTTCAAATATCAGACCGAGCAGTTGTTCGGGTGGTGCACGAATTCGGAATTCGCGATTATACAAATGTGTGTGCAAATAGAATAACAATTGTTGGCGCAAAATTTTTAACGAAATTCCAAATGGGGGGAGGGGGGCTAATGTAACTGACCCGTATATTATGGGTAATAATAACGACGCGATATTATTTACAATAATATTTAGAGACGGATATTATATTTTATAGGAATAAACATATTAAATCGAATCGAGAGACGGAGAAGCGCGCTGCAAGTCTGCAGGACGGAAATAAATGGTTCAAGTAAGTATATAATGATGCGCGCATGTCTATATGTATAAATATTCGTATTATCGCTTCTATAACACGTCATTTACTTCGAAACGGGTTTTCGATTATCCGCGCGCGCTCGAAATAATCTCGTAATCTCTGCTCATTACGTCTATTATACACCAACCCTTTTTAATAAATGGCCATCGAGAGTCTTCTCGGGCACAGATATAGAGAGTACGTCGTCGTACAGATTGTGTATACTACATTATGTACAAGTTTCGACGAACGCTAATAACAAAAGACCGACGCAAACTCGAAATCAATCAGTTTTACCAGACAGTGTATGTACGGACGATAAACAGGCGCTGCATAAAAAACCTTCCTATTGATACTGTTTAATAATAACAACAGCACAAGAGCGAAAAAAAAAAAGACGAAAATTTACCTACACAGAATAAACACACAATGTCGGATTTATTTTTTCTCTTATATTTTATTGGTATATGCCTGCGGCGGTCGCGGCTTGAAGGAGATATTATACTTGAATCGCGCGATTCATAAAATACCGTGTGGACGGGTCGTGGGCGTTCAGAAATATAACAAAAACTATAATGTTTTTTACAGAACAAGTCGTTAAAACGATTTTAGACTGCGGAAATTCGATAAATTTGACAAATTCCAATACATTTGCGGTAGGGTAGGGGTGTTTTTGGGTCGGGTTGGGTGGGCGGGCGGGTGGTTGGAAAATTTGCATCGGCGATTCGAGGTAAAAATACTTCGAGCCACCACTGTGTTGCAGTAGGTATACACACGTGCGTATTACAATAACGGGTGACGGGACGGGCGAGATACTTCGGAAAGCGGTAACCGGGTACTCGATATTCGATACATTGATTTGCAGTCGTTGAATACGAGATATTCGATATTTGAGTGCTGACAAGTAGTATTGCAGCAAGATACTCGATACTCGGCAGAACCGTATCGCGATACCAAGACGCGAGATACAATAATTATTGTATATCACAGATACGGGTTTAAAACACGGTTATTTCTAAGACACCATTGCCCAACGGTGATATTATTTTATAAAACTATATTATATTATACAGTGTGGTGCGTGACTCGTAAAAAGCCGACATCGCGGACCGAAAAGTCTGTAAAGAATTAAAATAAGAGATTATTATGCGATCAAGCCCGGATTAAGACATTTAGAGGCCCCCGGGGCCAAACTTTCCAACGAATCTCTCGTTGAAAGACTAAAAGTATACAATTTTAAAATGTTAGTTTAGTTATTAATACGTTTTAACAAAAAAAAAAAAAAATAATAATAATAATAATAAATAAATAGTTGGTACGATCGTCATATTATATTCGTAGATCTCGATTGAAAAACGGCAAATTTAATTTTTAACAAAATTACTAGTAATTTCTAATACAATACGAATAACCTTATCATCAAGCAACGAATAAACATTGAAATATCAAAATACAAAGTCAATGGTTAAATGCATACAAACAGTACCGGTTGCGAAAACCGAGGCCCCGGGAGTCTAGTGGCCCTCCTTGGACCACCCCTTAAACCGGGCTCGCATACGATCGATTGGATTTTCGTTGTTAAGACTATACGTTCGTAAGACGGCGACAATTTTGTTTTTACGGTTTTTATCGAAAGTTTGAACACATATGACACTCAGCACGATCGCAACAACTCGTACACCTCTACTCATAGAAAACTGATTCGATTTCGATATGTCGGGTACACGCGGTCTCGTGCTCGCGGTTTGCACTGTTTCGCACTACAGCCGTGACCGATGAATTATTTATTTTAAACAAGAAAAAAGGCGATGTATATAAGGAAACGGCGACGAGAACCGGTCCACAATACACACGTACGGGGTTGGCATCACTGAGTCGCATTTCCTGCTCGCCGGCCGCCCGCAGATCACGCACGCACGCACGGCAAAATAATAATGAAATGAAATAAAATATAAATTGCTATTCACCGTCGACGTCGTCGTCGACATCCCAACAAAACAAACTCTGTATAATAATATGCTGCAGACTGGCAGGGGGATACCCTTATTGCAACGTTGCATTTTGTGCGCGCGGGATTTATGACAAAAGTCGAAAAAATAGACGTAATAATAATACAATGAAAAAAAAAAAAAAAAAATAAAAATAAAACACGAATCGATTACCCAGATGATTGTTATAGAATTTTTTATACGGCTTTTCATTATTTTTTTTTCGTGACGATTTCAATCCATTATTATTGTCTATACGTTCGTTCCATACAAGCCGAGAGACCGTCTCTGCAGTATATCGTAATCGGTATCGGCCAGGCACACCAAAAGCCCGGGGAGCATTTTGTTCGAAGGGACTCCGTGGACGAAAATTACCTAAGCCGTGAAAATCTATGGGATATTGGATCGGAAGTCGGTGTCGTCGGTCCATAATGTTTCTAAAAATAACAATGGATTTCGCGGTGACACATATATTTATGCTGTGCATGCATAAACGTGATTTTCAATGACATTTCAGTTTTCAGTGATTCGTGTATAAATGTACTCACGCGCAACGATCAACAGTAAATTATAATATTATGTATTATTATTTTACTGTAGTCTGTTAGGTCTGAATGTATACATTTTACTGTCCGCACAAAAGACTGTCCATGACGCTATTTTATAAATCTTGGGGCCTGAGAAGCCACCAGACACAAATACGAAACAGTCACTGGCACACGGCATAAATACTATGCGTACAACCATCCAAACAGTACTATCCGGGCCACTCGTTGATCGTATACGTTTGAATTTCGACGAAGAAATAAACACCGAACGTTTTACTTAAACGATGTCTCTCTAATAGATCAGTTTTTTTTTTTTTTTAAATCTTAATCTCCGATTTCGTTAATGATTTTTTCGACAAAAATGTTCCGAAGACATTGTGTACGACTTCTCATATTTATTTTGGCACCGGAATCAATATTGTACACGGCCGACGGAGGCCTGAAATACACAAATTGTCGGAGTACATCGAATGTTTGCCATATTGTCCCGTTAAAGATCTATATCTGTAACGGGCAATACACGCGACAAATTCACGTTCAACGTTCTCTTGGTGAACGACGAAACGACTAAAAATTAAAATCGATTCGCAGCATTAAGTACAAAATCAAAACACAATTTAACGGTTTTCTGGATAATGAGAATTTTAACACTCATGTATTTATCCACGGACAAACGAGTTATATATATTTTGGGCAATTTAGGTATTTGTATTAGGCAGTGGCGGTTATAGCTGACTTTTAATGAGGGAGAGACGAAAATGACAAACAATAAATCATAGGACAATAACGAGACAACAATAACTCTCCCCGATATTTTAAAATTCAATTCACAATCATTACCATATTGCCATATTATCATTGTCCTCCCCCCCTTTATAACCGCCACTGGTATTAGGTTTATAGTATAAACCTCGAGGTTTCACACAGATAAGAAAGGACAAGACGAAAAACAAAAGCGGAAAATTAACATTTAAGTGTATAACGTGTACTACTGTAATAAAATGAACAGAATTTAGATTAATAAAATGAAGTGGTGTTCACTATAATAAAATGTAGTGTAGATAATATTAATGTTATATAATATTATATTATGATGTATACCATATTGTATATATCATTACACTATACAAATTAGAAAAGTTCTAGTTTATATAGGATGTATTTTTTTTTTTTACACGCGGTATGTGTGTATCGAAAACTAGATTTAAAAAAAATATAAACTAAATAAACGTTGCCCCGTCAATATATTAGCTAGTGACGGATCGAAGTGTTTTCACGTTGAATCACTGATAAAATTGTCCATTAACCCAACCCAAAAATACCGTCACCCTATCAAAAATGAATTGGAATTTGCTAAATTCCAAAAAATTCTTTTAATGACTTGTTTTGGAAAAAACACAATATATTTTGTTATATTTCTGAACACCCACGGCCCACCCACACGGTTTTTCGCGAATCGTGCGATTCAAATATACCTCTTTCGAGCTGCCACTGGGTGGGCATAGTAATTATTACCGCTGTTATGCACGTACGTGCATCACCTCGAGAAAACATATAGGTATACACTGCGTGAAAAACCCTCGCCGGACTACCGTATGGTACGCGTATACGAATGGTACGCGTACATAGCTCAACGAAGAGGAAACGGTCAATTATCAACGACCTTGGGAGAGGGAGGGGAGATGGGGGGATTTATGGACAATTAACCGGCGCGCAAACTATTGGGCGATCGTGGAATTAAAAAAAAAAAAAAAAAAAAAAAAATGTATGATAATAATTAATAACCAACGATTTTACATGCATATTGTAAATTAGAAAAAAATTAACGTCGACTCGCATGACAGACGTACGCGATACGGAAAAAGATAAGTCTCGTACAGGCATACAATAATAAGACACACGGACAACTACTGAATAATAAACCCGACGAGATAATATAATAATTCGAATATTATACTGCAGTCGTATTATAGCAGACAGCAGTTTTTCAATGTCTTTTTTTCTTTTTCTTTTTTTGAAGCTATAGTTTTTATTATTCTATGGCGTATTGCGGCGGGCGTTATTCCGCCGTCCGATTGTTATCTCGGTAGGGAGGAGATGAGGAGGAGTGTAAATCGTTAATAAGCAATTTGGAACAATATTTTGATAATTTCGTTCTATACAAAATATCAAAATAACTATCGAATTCGATTCTACGTGCTATAATAGGTACGGAACGACAGTACCTATAATGAAAAAAAAATATATATATAAAAAGATCATACAATTTACGAATCGATGGACAGAAAGAATAACGAACCGGGAAGTACGCTGAACAGAACTGAGGAAAATCGAGATCTTTGGCCGATGGCGTGCCCAGAAATATTTAATAGGAGGGGGTGTAGTGAATAATAATAACCGTAGAATCTGCTCCCGTTATACCTAACCGGTCGACAATGCGAATTTAAAAGCCGGATCCAAAAAGTCAATTTATGTACAATAAATCGAAAGGTAACTCTCTCTTGTAACTGAACTGTAGTAGGGGATAGAAGGGGACGTAGAATGTTGGAGCACGTCACGAAGCGAATTACGATAGACGTGGATCAGGGTTAAGGATTTATAGTTACAAAGATTTAGAGGAATTAAGTTACGAAAGGGAGGCGCGGAGATCCGCTACAAGCCGATCGGACGACTGAAAACGAGAAAAAGAGACCACTGCGGCGTCAGTGTGGTAAAACCACGGATATCTAAGGGAATCCGCAATCTGGTGTAGACATACATATATTAACATTGCGGTTTGTACACGTTATGAACTGGTAAATGTGCACGTTCAATCGCCTACTCGGTTGACAAAGCGTATGATATGTTTGCCCGATACTTTATCGAATGGACGATAAACGCGAAACATGATTTTCAGAACAGATTCCGGCCGGAATGAAAGATATAGACGGTCTTACAGTGCGAATAATAACGGCACACATTTACGATACGCTATTCAGTATTTTTATCGGCCGATTAGAAAAAAACGGCCGGTTTATACGAAAATGCGTTCCGGGACCTAAATATTCTGTTTACGAGGACATTATACCCGTATCTATACTGTGTCAGGCCCACTACCGGGTAATAACACGCAAAAACAATGCTCACGCGGAACAAGTAAAACCAGCATAATTTCGTTTCCGCGTGAAATGTAATGTGAAATGCACAGGGAACAATATTTCGGAAGGAATGTCAAACATTTTTAAGACGTTTTCAACGTGATTGTTTATCGTTTATAATTGTTTGTTTGTTCTTTTCCTGGACACACATAAACGTTTTCGGCGCGCGCGTCCGCGTAAACGTTTAAAAGGCTCGAAAGGCGCGGTGTCCGCCGCCCCGATTGGGCAGTCAATTACAATTACTAGAACCGCCGCGCTTCTAGACCGGTGACCGCGTCCTGCGCGCGGCCGCGGGGAACGTGCGCTTCGAAAGTACGGTTACGCGGCCGGCCCGTCGTTTGGGAACGCTCGGGACCGGCCGCGGCCGCTGGGGAGAGTAGGGGCGGTGGGAGGGGGCTGTGCTCGCCGTTATTAAAACGTGGTTTTATTATTGTTATTAACGTTCCGGCGATTGCGTAATGCGATGATAGGAAATAAAAAAACGAAAAAACGAAAGAAAAAAAAACAGAAAACCCGTTCGATTCGAACGGGGGGGAGGAACGCGCGTCATTCGGGCGGGCGTGCGGGCCGTTGCTTGCTGTTGCGGCCGCGGCGGCGCGGGGAAATACGAAACGGCCGAACGATAATTGACAATATCCGCAGTTGTGACGACGACGAATCGAGCCGGTGCACCTAATCGAGTTTGTCGTTCGCAGTCCGGTACGCATAAAGTAAAAGCGAGCGCCTAAATTAACGCGGCGGTGCGATATCGTTCGTCTATCGGCATTTCGTTTTTTGTTTTTTTTTTCCGTAGGCAATAGGTACGCACGCGTCTTTGACCTGTAATTATCCACGAACGAATTGCGAATTCATACAGACGTCGCGGACGCGACCGGTATCACGCGTACAGGGCGATTCATTCGTCACGAACTAGCGATTTTCTCGGCGGATTCGATTCCTGTTGTTTGTTGTGGATAACCAGCTCTACTTTTGGTACCGTTATTAATCGTGCGCCCGTGATGTGCCTCAAATAAGTGCGTACTTTAGATTTTCAAATAGGAACAGATAGTATCAGATTTACCGTTTATGGGTTTTACAAGAGGTTAAAGTGTACACCTAATTTTATCTATAAAAAAAAGTGCAAACAATATGCTAGGAGTAGGGACTTGAGCCGGGTCTCGTAGAACCGATGGACCACGTCCTATGAAATACTTTAATCGAATGACGGTGGACAATTTTTTTAAACGATATGTTTGATAACTCTTTCATATTTTCAAACGTGCCAAGCGAATACTCGTTTCAGGTTGTACGGGTGAACAATTTAAAATAGCGCTAAAATAAAAAACCGAAACGATTCTACGATTAGAAAAAAAAAAACAGAAATCAAATTCACAATAAAAAATTCGTGATAAAATAACCGCCTGTATCGCAGTACTGTAAACGTGGGTTAAAAATACTCGCGCGAGTATCGAAAATTCGAGCCGATTAGTTGATATTATTATTTCTAGACAACACACGACAGTGCGATCGCGATAATCTAATTTTAAAACGGAACGCGCATATTTAAACGGGTCGGCTTATTCGAATGCTAACAATTATAAATAGCAGTTAACACGACATTGTTCTACACGGTCCCCGAACGCCTTGGATAGGTATTTTTAACGCCGATGTCCGCGACGACTATTGTTTGCAGTGGCGTGCCCGGGATTCCTCTCCGGGAGGGGAGGTACGGTAAATATAATAACCGCGGTTCGCGAATAAACCGCAGACAATTTCCCCGTTAAAATCCGGCAAAAAACATTTGATTCCGACGTGTAACTACATACTAAACGACTTGACAACTGGTGTTCGTTGGATTTTTAAGGGCACGGGCGGTGGTGTAGTAGCCCCAAACCTCCGCACCCTGCACGCGCCACTGTACGGGTACAGGTACGCTGAACGCGCGATTGACGAGTTCAAGAGTGCGTCGCATGACACATATTTTGTTTTCGGTCCACCCGCCACAACGGCGGACGGATTTCAACAATATCGTGGAATTTATCGCGTAAAACAACCGACGTGTATTATTATTTGTTCGCGGTCGTGTCGGTTTAATATCGACGCGGAACATCTACCGGTATCCGAAGATATTAACACGGCTATGGACCGACGGACAATAGAACGGAATGTTGCCAGTATACCGAGTATGGAGTAGTGGATCTCTTAGACATAGTTTTGCTTAATGTAATAGAAAATACACGCACTTGCACACCGACGCGTTTTATAGAACTTTTCGAGTTTTAAAATTTTTAAAATTTCAGGACGTGTCTAATTGAATTATGTTCATTTGGAACACCCAAAGGTTTCGTCGAGTCGTTACTATCAATAATAATATGATTTCCTTTCAACTTACTACGTTCGTCGTACTGAACAATTTTGTTTAACGTGTGTACGACAGTAAACTTACGGAGTAGGTTATATAGTTTTTGTACAGTGTCTTACTACGGTTTGGTAAACGAATTGTGAATAATCAATTGTGAAATCAATTGAAATCGGGTTTTCGAATTGTTTTATTATACATTTTGTGAATGAAAACCGAGATGCAAACTATAGTTTTACATGGAAATGTATTCATTTCGTGGGCAGTGTGTTAGACGCGAGCGGCTTTGGGTATCGATTTAGATTTGAATTTTAAAAGTCCGTTTTGCGCCCGACGGAAAAAATATGCACCTCGTGTAAAACACTAAATTGTACCGGGAATCGCGCGTGCAATTATTGACCGCGGGTAACCGAGAAATATCCAAAAATGTACAACGCGCTCGCGTGTCACGCGACGTTATTGTTGGCGTACGCGGATCCGGCGGAAAAAACGACAAATCCGCGCGCGCGCGCCGGGAGTACCGCGAGGGACGTCGAAAACACGCACCAGAACCGGAACCCGTCGCCGTCAGAAGAGACCGTGCCCGATGTCGGGGCGATCGCGTACCGACCCACGGTCGATTATTATTCGCGGTAATGTCGCGGGGACCGTTCACCGGACGTCCCGGCGTTCGCGGAATCCGCCCGTCCGGCGTGCGAAACGCAAAATATCCGCGGTTTACCGAACCCCCGTCGCCCCGTCGCCGTACCGGCGAACCCGGCGGGCAAGCGCCCGTTAAAATAATAACGACCGACCGGCGCAACGGAGTTTCGGCCGACGCAAATACGGCGCGGGTTCCGACGCCCCCGACCGGTCGGTCGTTTTCTTTTTTCCCCCTCTCCCTTTTTAATTTCGTCCTACGCGTGCGCCGAAAAATATTCAAATCGAACGTCGTCGTCGTCGCGTCTCACGAACGGGTCGCACCCGAAAAGCGGTTCGTCCCTGACCTACGTCAAGACCCAACGGTTACCGATCCCGCGCCCACCGACCGACGATCCGTTCAGTGACACGCGCGTCTCGCGTTAGCCGCCGCCAATGCGTTGTCGTCCGCCGGTTGTGTGCGCGCGGTTCAACGAGTCGCAAACAGAAAACGATTACAGTACCGACAGATCTTCGGCGTGACGTGTGTGCGTGTGCGTGATATTACACGTGTACGCGTGTACGAGGGCTAATCAAAAAGTATCGAGACTGATAATATTACCGGGAAACCGAGCGTTGAAGAGCAAAACTTTTTGTAAAACTAGCTTCTATGACCTATACTGAGCACATCTATTCGTATAAAATCTCTATGAACTTCTTCGTTTTGATTTGACGATATTTTTCTAAAATTTGTTTTTCACGTTTGGCGATTTAGTAATGAATCCAAAAGAAGCGGAACTCGCTGCCACTCGAGGGCACATTTTCAGTTTTTCAATTGACATTTAATGGCAAAAACTATGAAATGTTGCATCCCTCTGAAACCGGAAAAAAACGCAGAAAAATTTTCTAAAATCTCCAAATCTGTCGAGTTACCCTTCTTTTGGGTTTATTACAAAATCGCCAAACTCGAAAAATATATTAAAATCAGTGAAATCAAACCGAAGAATTTTATAGAGAAGCAATAAAAACAAATGTACTCAGAAAAAGTCATAGAAGCAAGTGATACCAATCCTACCGCTCTCCGACGCTCCATTTTCGAACGACGCTACCAGTCTTGATACTTTTTGATTAGCCCTCGTAAACGCGTACACGAAGCGCACACAGGAGGCGGGTATGAAACCTAAATCGAAAATCGTACAATACTGGCGCGCGCGCGGAGGGGGAGAGGGGAGGGGAGGAATCGCAACGTATACGCGGCCGCGATGAGAATTTATTTTCTCATTCGACCAAGTTCGTCTGCATACGGCCGACGGAAAAAAATAATATCGATCCAATAAATATACGTAACGCGTTTACCGACGACGATCCGGTTTGTGCGCTGGAATATCGGATAGTAATGGCCGTTCAATGACCGTCCAGCGCCATTACGGCTTACCGAATCGCAACGAAATTACGCTATTTCACGTACAATTTTCTACGAAACGAGCGTTGGGCGAATCGGCCGCACCCGTCCTGGATCACCGGAGCGGCGAAATATTGAATACGGTCGTCTTGTCCACTCGCGCAATTGCGATATGAACGCGAACGTTGAATTCCCGAAAATTTAGACGAATGTACGTGTGATAAAGAAAATAAAAAAAAAAATTTCCAAACACAAATTTCAACGATAGTACGAGCCGCCGAGTCCGAATTCCGAGGCTCTCTAACGCGGTGACTTCGACCGACGTGCGCGATCCCCTCGAATCAGCGGCGTAGCGGGCGGGAGGGAGAGGGGGGCGCGGTGGCTCCGTCGGCAGAAGTTTTGTTTATTTCTGTCGCGAAATCGTTTAGCGCTTACACCATCACGGCGGTTTATTTTCGTGTCTTATTGACCGTCGGCGTGACGAGTGTACAGTATTTATTATTTTTTCTAAATGCAATGAAATAAACACCACGAGCGATTTCGCGTTTGTTTGGGTTTTTTTTTTTTTTTTTATTATTATTATTGTTTCGGTGTCCGCCCGCGCGGCCGGTCCTGGCCCGCGCCTCCGTCTCAAATCGTCGCGGCCGAACGTCCGACCGGCGAAAAAATGTTCTCGGAATTCAAAAAAAATAACAACGACAGCAACAAACGAAAAACCCGAGATTTCTACGGGATTTCTGACGGATTATCACATTCGCCGGGCGCCGCGTTCCGGATTCGCAGTCGGTGCCGACCGCGTTTCCCGAAACGCCCGTCACCCGGAACGCGTTACTTTTTTTAGTCGGACCGGGCGATCGGGGAAAAAAAATAAGAGCGTAGGTAAACAATGTCAAAGAAATCGCTTTGGTATGTTTGAGGACTGGGGGGGGGGAAGAAAAACACAACGTTTCGTTTCCGTACACATGTTTTTATCCCTCGCTATGTATACGGGAAGTGATAAGAACGCGATACTCAAACGATAATTATCGACGAACAATTTCGGGTTTTTATTATTTTTCATTTTTGCGTTCGCGAATTTTACGGTCAACAAACTCCGTTGAAAGCGACCGGCTACCGACGGAAATTCGTCCGGAATTTATTGTCAACAGAAACGCACCGCGGCAAACGAGAGACGCTAACGATACCCCGGGTCCTACCGACGGTTTATTTTTATAAAAAAAAAAAAAAAACAGGTCACCACCAACAATGATGATAATAATAATTTATTTTCATAATAAAACGAGGACCTGTATCAATAACGCGATAGGCGTATCAAGTTACGAGATTTTCAAAAATCTTTTTTTTTTTTTACGTAAATCGATAAAAACCGGCGTCGTCGAGGAACGTAATATTACTGTACGCGTGCGTTCAACGGGTATCCACTCAAAATTAAGTGAATCGACAAAAAAAATAATAATGGATACGAGACGCCGATCACAATGAACTCTACTCGGCGTTTCCCCTTTCCCGAATATAATAATTTGCATTTTTTTTTTTCTGTTACGTATTATTCCGATGTCCTTGGTAGGTCTTCAAAAATGTCGGAAACGAAAACCAAAGTCCGGACGCTCGTATTACACAAAACGGCTATTGTCAGCGGGTGTAATAAAATCATTTACGGAAATCAGCGTACAAATGTTTGGTAATCGCGGAAATCGTATAGGATATCTCGGTGATCATCGGGGAAAATCGCTAGTGTTCCGGGATCCGGTGTACACAAATATTAATCGGCGATTTGCCTATACCTCCTGGATATTGCGGTCGCGCGGCCCGTTCGGTAGGGTTTTCGTTCGCTAAGGGAGGTGGGGATTCCCGAACACGGTTACCGTCCCGACTGTCCGGATACGCATACAATATTGTATTTTGTTTTGGGGCGTCCGAGACGGATCCGGGACAAGATAAGCGGGTGGGTGGGGGCGGCGGCCGATTTTGAAAATCCGTACGCGGCACGCGTTTCTGACGTTCACGGCGAATAGTCGGCCCGCGAGTGTAACGGGGCCAAGCCCGTGTACCGGGTGCAGGCGACCGCCGTACGGATTTTTAAATTTTTCGGCCGGGTCTTTGTCGGAACAGACCGTGATAATGTGATGACGGTTTTGAACACGCGACGAACGGCATGGCGACACGTTTTCGAACGAAACAATGACACAAAATATTTCGTGGCGGTTGTACGTTCTCATCGTAGGTGCACTTAACACGTCTTGTAACGTCATTTTTACCGTTATGCTAGTTGGCGGTGGTACACTTGCGGCAGGGCACCGTCTCCTCTACGATCCGATACCGTTGTAAAGGTCGCTGTCTCGGCAGTGTTTACGTGCTGGGGCATTTCACGTGCGACCGCCGTGGCAGTAACGTCCGTCAATGTGTTAACGACAAACGCGTAACAGAAAAAAACGGTCCGCGCGGGCCGGCAACCGGGTATACCTGGGAGAAAAGGCCGTGTTTACGATAGCCGCCGGGGGGGGGCGAGGGGTCCGACGGTCAGGGGCGGCAATAAGGGAGCGCGGCAAACGCGGTGTCCGTTAGCGGCGCGACGGTAACGACGTTACCCGTCGGGATTGCCGTCCGGGTTCCCGGCAAACGATTTCGATCGGGCGCGGTCGCACCCATCACAGTCAAATGCGTCCTGGTGGTCTAATGGGATTTTTTTTTTTCTTTTAGGGTTTTGCAATCGGACGGGCGCCCGCCGTATACTGTCCCGTACAATAATTATTCCGTCACGGGAAATCGCCGGTGTCGACAATCGGATAACGCGTGCCGGTGCCGATTATGCGCCGTCAGTTTCGGTACAACGGCGAATCGGCCTTCGGCCCGACTCGACGGGGTTTGTCCGCGTTCGCACGTTGGTTTCCATCGAGATTTTAATTGTCAATCGTGCCGGTGGTGTGCGAAATCTGTTAAACCGCTCGAAAGTATCCGGAGGGGGAAACCGACCTACAAACGTCGGCGGTGGCGGCAATGTGCTAACATTTAAATTTCGATTCGCCGTTATTAAAAAACAAAAAAAAAAAACAAAAAAAACTGACGGCGCGAAATCGGTTCCGATCACCGAAAAGCTGACGTTTCGTCGTTACCCGTGACAGATGACACTGGGAACCGTGTGAAACGTCCGCCGGTTTCCCGTGTTGTTTTTCAACACGTTATGCGACAATATCGTTTGATATAAATGGCGAAATGGAGCGATTAAATCGTAAAATAACGAGCGGACTTGAGAAAAACGATCGTCATCCCGCGTGGGGCGACTGGCGGGCGTTTTACACGGGCATTTGAACAAAAATGCGCGAAACCCGACCGGTAATATTAGTCCGATATTGTTTTGCCCGTCAGAGTCGAGGCCCGTCTCGCGTCCGAATTTCGGACTCGAGCGACGAGGTCGGACGAGAATCGGACGCGGCGCATTGTAACGTTACGGTGACCCGACGCGAGATCGTACCGGACGGCGGCGGCGGCGGCGGCGGCTGCATGGTCGGCGGCGCACTGCTGATAACGTTTCGTTCTTATCGCCGCCAATAGAGCGTGTGAAATCGCGAGCGCGGAAATCCGGACACAGAAGATACGTGCCGCCGCGTACGCGTGTACGGAAATACGTGAAACGGTCGGGGCAAAAAAAAAAACAAGCGGGGCCGACATTTTCGCTCGAAACGAACGTTGCAAGAGATCGCCTGCCTACCTGTCTGCCGTAGTGAAATAATTGTGCGCGGGGGGAACCGGTATACAATAATATTGCCGACCGTTTCCCGGCGCGTGAAAGTCTCTCGCGGGGGGGTCGCTTTCTTTCTATTTTTGATTTTCCTCGGTTTTCCGTCCGGCGAAACGTCGACATTACACTACATCGCGCGACAGCGTACCGTCGACACACGCGTTCCGTTCCCGCGGTTCCCGGCGTCCGCTGCGCGCGCAGCGTCGCGACAACCGGTCCGGACGGCAATGTCGTCGGGGATTTCCGTCTTACTAACCTCTGGGCCGTGTCCAAAGCGTTTTCGGAGCTGCGACTGCGATGATTGCGGAGATGAGCTGGACGCGGGCGCGTGCCCGGAGAAAAAGAAACTACGAACCGGTACGCAACACGCACACGCACACGAGCGCGCGGACGCAAACACAGCGCGAAACGACGGCCGACAAAGCCGGTAAACTACGCGCGCGACGGTTCCGCACAGACTGCGTCGAAACGGTCGGAGGCCTCGGCCGGGTGTATCAGCACGTTGCCGACGTCGCCGCCGTCGCCGCCGCCGCCGTTTGGGCGGCCGTGACGAATCGGTCGGCGGCGGAGCGGACGTATTATTATTATTGTTGTTGTTACGTCGTCTACGGCCGGCACGTGGTGGGGCGCGAGCGGCGGTGCGGCGGCGGTGTCGACGCGCGTACGTCCGCGGCCGCGGTTACGTGCCGTACGCCGCGCCGCACCAGCGCGCTACACCGTGCACACGCCGTAGGCTACGACGACGAGTTCGCGCGCGCGCGCGGTGTATAACCGGCGGCCGGCGCGCGTACAGAGCGGTTCTGTGATCGCGGCGTCCCCGAACGGCGCGATTGTCAACGTTGCCGGGGGCTCCGCCGAATCCCGCCGAATGCGATGAAAACTATGGATGTCACGCGTGTTCAGTTACCACGTGTGATTCGCGCGGTCGACACACTGGTGCGCTGGGTGATATGTCGAAAAAAATTAAAACCGCGCGTACAGAACGGCGCAATTATTATTTTTCGGTACCGCCGTCCGCGTGTTTCTATACGTTCGAGAAACGCGTCCCCGTCTAGTTTTCAATCCGACGGGACGCGGCGTCGATTAGATTATTGATAACAAACCTTATCAATTCCGTCGCTTCGCTATGTAAACAACCGTCCGGTTCGTATTCAATACACGCGTGTGTTGAACGCACGATCTTCGTGTAGGTACGCGCGCGTTGGAAATGCGTGTCCGAAATCTGTTAAAACACACACACACACACGCGCGCGCGCGCACACGAACGTTCGGCAAACGACAAACATTTGTGATTCGACCCCGTTTTCATTTTCGTTTTCATTCCGTATGGCGATCTTAATTCTTAACACTCGGGTGAAACTGATTTCGATTGATTAATGATAACCCGCGATTAAACATATTGATCAAATTTGAATGGATATTATTTTCCGGGAAATAAATTCGGAAGCGATTTCGTGAAAACAAACAAGGAAAATGGATCGGACGGCGGGAATCAATATGTGTCATCCATTATTTATGTACAATAATTTATTATTAAGCAATTTTAACGAAGAAAAATATAAAAAATGAAAATTTATTAACTTGAAAATACATTGAAATTCAATTTTAAAATAAATACCGTTGTCAGGAGTACCTATTTATTGGGCAATACGTTAAGAAACACGTTCACGTCTCAAAACCGAAAAAATCGGTGGTTATCCCCATAAATAATATTCAATAGTTTATTCCTATAAAGTTATTTCACTGATAAAACGTATCGTAAAGATCTGGATGGTTAAAACCTGCGTTCTGCAGTCTCCTCCGGTCTGCAAATCGAAAATATCTTTCGATTTGTTATGAAAAATCACGGCGAATGTACCGAGGTCATACGTATTATTATTATTTTTTTTTTTTTTGGTCTTTGATCCCAGAGAAGAAGGGACAACTATACAAAATTGATTTAAGACTTTCCTCCCGGGGCGACCAAAAACGAACCACAACGATTTAAAAACGTCAAATTCAAATTTCCTTGTCATTTTCCGCGTAGACAATCGTATAAAATGTTCGTGATAATATTTTATTAGAATAACAGTCACCCTGTATAGTCTACACATGGCGATATTTTGGCGACTGTGTTCTTTTCTTGCCTGCATCGAACAATACCGCCACCGAGACGGCGCGCGGAGGCTCCGGCGGCGACCGAGATGTTATAGTAACATTATCGTTATATAGGTACCTGGCTGGGATCCGACAGTTGAATTTTGTGTTACCGAGCTAAATTTATGGATTTTAGTTGTTTACAAAGGAGAAGAAGAAGAAAAAAAAAAAATACATACACATGTTCGCACGGGAGACGGTCGGTATTCACGTTATCATATTATTACTACTCGCATAATACGACGTATAATATGTTTATAACTATTGGGTTTCTATTATGTCGAGCAAAGAGCAACCGACACGGTCCAATACGAATCGTATTGGCGACTATCCTTAAACACAATATACAGGTAGGTGTAGCGAAACATAAAAAGTAACCACCCACCCGTCAGAGACGTGGGTAAGTATAAGCTCCCTCCTCCCCCCCCCCGTTTCGAAATTACAACGGGTGTTCAATTCTTTGTTCGACTACCAATTCATTTCTATTACAAATAATTGATAGTCAGAATCCCTCCCCTCTCCCTCTAAGACGTAATCCATACCTACGCCTCTGCCATCCACCCTCACTAATATTCATCCGTGTCAAATTTCGTCTACCAAACACGGTGTAATTAACACGTTTAAAAAAAAAAATTAGGATATCAATGTCGCCGTACTCGATTTAAGATAAACCGTACTCCATAATAAAATTGTTAAACATTGAAGCAGATCATATTTTATTGTACCGTAAAATATTCTGACATTGTTCATATACGAACATTTACTGTACAGACCAGTTAAAGATTTACGGGGCCTTACCAAACACCGATATAATTTCAATAAAACAACGTCTAAAAAAGAAGCCTGTTTTTTTAATCATTGTGGAATCGTTTAATCTTTATTTTAATAACCATTTTTAATTTTTTACTCCTACTCCATATACCTTAAATAAGTATGTACTTTTGTTTTTAAAACAGAAGCCTTTTTTATGAACACAAATTTGAATAGAGAATATTTTTCTAAAATTGTTGATATGCATAACACTAATATCAGATTTACAGTTTACGAGTTATGACAATTTAAAGTTTAACGTTTAAACACATAAACGGTAAATCTATAACAGTAGTGTTATACTAAAATTTCTAAAAAAAATATTCTCTATTCGAATCTGTGTTAAAAAAGGGGAGGGTTCTTATTTAAAAAAAAAACAAAAGTATGTAATTTATGGAGCAGGGTTAAACAATTAAAAATGGTTTTAAAATAAAGCTGAAACGGTTCAACAATATTTGAAAAAAAATAGAACTCAAATTTACTTGAAATACTCCGAGATAATTGCTGGTTCGTGATAAAAAAATCACCCCGCAGGGCATGGTAATAAAAAACATCTAAAAACGGAGTTCAATACGAGTTTCATCGTTGCAACTGCAAAATAATCATTGAAATATAACGATTCTACGAGGCACGCGCGTTTTTCCCGTAACGCATGTTTTTGAACCAAAAACGCGCTGGCACCGGATCTCTTAAGGAAACTCGTAAAAAAATTATCGAATGAAATAAATATTCTGAAATATTAAACTCTAAACGGTTTTATTGCGTCTAAAACACTAGAAAAGACTTATTTATTATGAGCATACGGTTAAATTTCCCCGTCTCTACGGTTACTTTTCATTAAATCACGAAAACGAAATCCGTATTACTATGTAAAACCATTCCCGTTTTTCCGAAGGTTCTTGTTCCAATTTTCTCCAAAACTATTGAGCAAAGTACACGGAAAATCATGACCTCCCCAATGCGAGAAATCCGACAAAATTTTCCACCTCAAACCGCACCATTGAAGTTGACGATTGACGCTGGTGTTCTGTAATCAAAAACTTGTTTACAAAATACAAAAAAAAAACAATAATAACAATAACAATAAAACGTATCATAATATTATAGTAAAACTATTACAATATTCCTCGTTACGCTCAGTAGGTACCTCTAAAACGGGCGATAAAAATAACAGTTTTATTATTACCCGCGCAATAAAATTTGTCGTCGTTTTTTTTTTTTTTTTTAGTTCAATATAATACTGTATAGGTAATTTATTTTATTTTCGTTGGCAAATAGGTAATCATTTTTTTTTTTTATACACATATAGTATTATTACCGACGGTTACGTATTACAAAAATATTGAAAAACGTATTTTATGTATTTCTCGTGTACTTTTAGGAATATTAATTAAATGACGTCATATACGCGTTTATGTACACGCGCATAATATTACCTATGGGTTATGCGCACAAGACGTAACAGATATAAATAATAAACGTAAAGAAAAATATATTATACGGGTTTTTTTTTTTTATAATCGTTTATTTCTTTGTATAGGTACGGAATGATAATTGATGTATCAATGCGGTTAAAATATGTTGTATTTTTTTTTGTGGGCGCAGTCCAATATATATTATTTTCAATAATAATAGGTATCGGGTGAAAGTTTTTTTTTTTTTTTTTCTAGAAAGAAGATTTGATACACATACAGAATTATTAAATTTCATTATAAAGGATATATATATGTAGGATATAGGCAAAACGATTTTAATATGATTATTGTACGCGCACATAGAAAAGCATGTCGAACGTTCTCGCGTGAAAATTACTCGTGCATCCAATAGCCCGCCGAGCAATGTGCACGCGGTTTTTTTTTCTTTCTTACCTAGGTTTACGTATTAGTACCCGGTGGTATATTATAGTAGTAAGTATACTCGAAAATAATACGGTGTCTACACAGTCATATAGTCGATTTCTAGTTTCGTTTGATACAACACGGTACGCGTGTTCGTGACGTCAACCCGTGAAACACAATGACGAGTCGTTCAACGAATAAATAATAAATAGACGATTGAATTTATAATACGTTACCTATCATGTATGTGTGTGTGTACTGTGTATGTCAGGTATGTAATTAGGGTGTACGGTAATACTATTGACGACGATAATTGTTGATATAGGTGAAATGACGAGCGCACGCAGCGTTACATTTCAGAGTGGGTTTATACATGATGCCGATATTGTATATTATAATATTGTAATTATCGTTTTGTTAACTTAATCGAATACCGAACCGAACTATAAAACGATTATAGACAGTCAACACTACGAGTAAATCCGAAGCTCGGCGGCCATTTAGATGGGTACCTACAGGGATAATCGTATTGATTAATCCATGCAATATTTGTTTATGCCATGAATCACGCGGTAAACATAACGATTATATAAAACGATAAATATTTATGTACTACCCTGACGCCCACCCTGGACTATTCCCTTCGTATTGAGTCCGCGTTCTGTAAGGCTTTCAAAGTTTCAGGCCCAATAAAACGTGTTTCGAGTGAGTTTAAACTTGCCGCTCATATAAAAGCTATATTTACTGCTCCTTCGTCCGTTCTATTTTAGAGTTTTCTTCGGTGTTTTGGGACCTGCACACTGCTTCTGGGTCTTGCGATTTTAAGAGAGTGCAGCGTCGTTTTCTTTTCTTTGCGGCTTACGTTTTTAAAATCGAACACACACAGCACGAATACTCTAGCGTCCTTGGCTTTCTTTCTCTGGATTCACTAGCGGACAGAAGAGTGTCTGCTAATATTAGATTCTTGTCCAAGCTACTTGATGGCTCAATTGACTACCCTCCCCTCGTTTACCAAGTGAACTTCAGAGTTCTCTCTCGTTCTTTGCGTTCTTACGCCCTTTTTCTGTCCCGATTCATTCCACGAACTTTGGTCGTAACCGTCCCTTACATCGTATGATGCGATTGGCCAACGAAAACCCTTCTTTTTTTAAATTTCTAAATCTGCATTTTCTAGTATTAATTTTATGTTCCTTTTGTATTACCTTTGTAAGTTACCCCCTTTGAATAGTATTATGATTAACGTTTAAGTATACTATGTAATATTACTTGTATTTATGTGCAAAATTGCTCGTTGTAGCGTTAATAAGTAATAATAATAAATAATTAAAATTTAACATAGATTTTATTAAACATAATATGGAAGATACTTTTTTTCTATTATACACGATTTATAACACGTATGGATTTTCCCAACTTAACGGTACAGGAGTAGTAACTCTCACGGATGAAGGATGATGGTCTCCGTACGACAAATAAAATAATATTGTGCTAGAGAAATGTTGTGTTGGTGAGGTAATTATATGATTTGATTTTTTTTTTTGTAGGGTAGGGGAGGTAACATTTTTTTTTATGTTTTACGGTGTTTATATAATTTCCAGACATTTTGACTTCTGTTTTTTGCCGTCTAGGCCAGGAAGCCCAAGAGTATTTGGTCACCGATTTGATGTCGTTTTGTTTCGTGCTATACTCACTTAAATTCGCAGTTGCTGCTTTGAAGGTGTACTTTAGATAGATTGTAGTACTTCTTACGGGAAGGATCACGATAAGGTATATGAAATCACCTTCCACGATATAATGATGATACAGTGATGACACATTACACTACAAGTACATAGTAACAACTGGGTTGACTTACGAAATGTGTGTTCGACGCACTTAGTATACCTATTTAATACCTTTGAAAATTGAAAATTAATCATAAATCGTTTCTTTTTATCACGAATTAATACAGTATGGATATTGGATGTCCAACGAGCTATGAAAAGTGACCGTCACTGTTATAGTTAGATAGTATAGAAACGATCATTGTAATCGTATAGGGACTCCAAAGTTTCCTACATTTTGTAACTTATTGAATACTTCATACTTGCAAAAAGACGATTGAATACAACATAGGTAATATAATATTGCAGCCAGTTTTAAAACCAATTAATTATAGCCTTTAGTTACGTACACAGCCTATAGGGATGCTGCACACTTGGATTGAATAGTCGAGTTGTGGGAGACGCTAGAATGATGGTCACGAAAGACTTATAAGGCGTCGTACGTGTCATTTCCAGCCAGTTACATTTTTGCTCAGTTCCAGTTTTGCTAATTTCTTTTCAGTACCTTTTTGCCTCTAATCTGCATAGTTTTATTAAGTCAGAACTCATATGGGCCTAATTTAAACGTTTACAAGATATTTAATTAATAATATTTTATACATATGAAAATAATTGCAGTGTACATATCTATGCTCTTTAAATGTATTCCGTTGAGAGAAGGGGGGGAAATTAAAAAATATAATAGTTCATAAGTTATACTAAACATAATAATAATAATCAATAAACACGTGCAATTGAAAAAAACAAATTAATTCGTTCCTTCACTCACCGAAGGACTACTGAAGTAATAAAAGTGATTGAAAAATGTGTTACAACTTATGTTCTTGAATTTTGATCAATTATATTTTATAGTCATATTTTTAATACTACATTATAATGAAACATCATTATATAATAAAGTGTTTTTATCAGGTTTTTTTGAAAAATTCATCTAAATATTATTGACTAATAATTTAAGAATTGTTTAAATACATATTTTTTAACCTCACCTATCCCTCAACATTCTTGAAGAAATCCTGTGCACAAGCTCGTTTTTGATATTTAATGACTAAAAGAGACAGCGGTTGATATTGATATGATATTATATTTTTGTTCTGTGGTTGATCTTATATGCTATTATTATTACTTTCGTAATTGCATGATTGAAATAAACTAAATATTTTTCAACTATGTTATTCTGATAACTAGTAATTTTTTCAAATTTTTTATAAATTATCAAAACGATTTTAAAATTGTTTTCATTGTATCATACCTACGAGTATATAAAATCGATAATACTGAAATATCAAATAAATACATAAATGCAGATCCAGGGGAGGGTGTTTATAGCTCCTATCTCCCCTCTCCTTAAAATACGCCCCTTGTAAAACCGTAGGCACAAAATATGCTTATTATTTGCATTAATAACATAATAATTTACCTCTTTAAATGTACATTAATATAACATGCAAAAATTATATTTGGTTTGTGAAATCACTTTGATTTAAAACGCCTACATTTCAAACTCGTGTGATCGTGCATACACACTATGCGAACACGCAAATGCATATAATTCTGGGCTTTACGTATTGTGTGAGAATAATATTAGGAAAATTAACGGCCAACAAATAATGTGCGTTGAAAATATAGTGATATTGATTATAAAAACACGACAAATATTTCGTCGGAATTGCGTGGGTTTTTGTCGACTGGTTTATCGCGGATTATTTTTTTAAATTTTTTTTATAGTAATCATATTTTAAATCGTTTTTACTGACCGTATTGGAAGTGATATGGGTTCGACCGAACGTATACAATAATATGTTTTGTTATTATATTATGTATGGATATATACATATATATTTTTTTTTTATTATTAAAAATGATTGCAGGTTATCTACTAAGAACGACAATAGAACCTCTAAAAAAAAAAAAAAATGATAATGATAATAATAAACCGTCGAAAAAAAACCCAATGAAATAAAGAACACGTAATTTCTGCTTGTTCGGAAAAAAATGATGACAGAAAGTGACACGACATAAACATAATTCGACGACAAAAACTATGGCGACGTAAAATAATACGTCAATTGATTATTATTATTTTCAGTTCCGAATGTTAATATCATAATAATATCATTTTTATCAGCTGAACGCGTTATATATATTAATATTTTCATTTGCAATACGTGCGAGATAATCAAATAACGTCGGGCACCTACGTTCAAAACATAAATTGAATAATACGTTTTGTCTAATTAAGTATTCTTAATATAACCAAATAACACAATGCTTTTTTCTCTCTTTTCACTATTTATGTTAGATTAACAATAGAAAATTCCGGTGTCGATTTATAAATTGGTTCGTGAACGAAACTAGACGATATCTCGATTATACATAAATTATAAATCAAAATAATTCGGGCAGAATAAAACGTCTTGTCGGTCGAGTTAGATAATACACATGGCCGTTTATTTTTTCATTACGATTCAGCCGATGACCTATGAAGATTTCGGGGGAAGGATAATATATGTCGTGCTAATTTTTTTTTTTACTTGTCCTTTTTTTATTGCTCTCGTATGCACGAATAGGGAGAGCCAGAGGGGCTAAGCTCCTCTTAGACACTCAGCCGAGCTAACCCCAAATCCTTTTCAAGTAAATATACGATTTATTATACATTTAAAGAATACGTACCTACCTACATATTCATTCACCACTCTTTACACATGTTACCTGTTATCATATAGAAGCCTATACTGGTATCAACGTCACAGTAGTGAATGATTATGATTAGAGCAGGTTGATAACAGATAAGATGAGTTGGGTAAAGAAGAGTGAAAAACTACTTAAATAAGCAAATTGTATCTAATTAAATTAAATTAACTGTGTACGGTTTATGTTAACTATTAAAGATAGACTTTAATTGTCGTTCGTTTGTTTTCAGTTTAACACAATTTATCTATTCATTATAATTTGTTACAAATTTAAATGTCTATAAGGTATTCTTATATACATGTATAGTAATTCATATTTTTTATCAATATTGTACGGGTTTAAATCCCTCCTTAAAAAAAATCATTTAAACTATTTTGCGCCCATGCCCACTTTTCTGGTCTAAATTTGAAACTGGTTTAGCTCATAAACGATGTTTCCGATAGTAGCTACCAATAGAGTGGCAACATCAATATTAACATTTTTTTTAAAAAAAATAATTTTTTCGAATATGTGTTAAAAGGAGACTGGATTGTTTAATAAAAATCAAAAATTAGGGAACAAATTTGAAAACGGTGTTAAAATTAAGTTGACAAATTCCATATAACGATTGAAAAACAAAAATAAAAAATAGAAATCTTTACTATAAAAATCAACCGAGAAATTTAATGTTGTTTAACAAATAACAGATAACAATGTAAACGAAAAGTAATAAATTAATAATATTATTATTTTTGCGTTATTTCTGAGAAATTCTACCTACCCATAGGCGTATAAAATTTTAGTTTATAATATTGTTACTTTCGTTTTGTAGTTGAGTTTTTAATACATTTTTAGACCAGTCGATTTATAGGGAAAAACTACTATTTGCCCATTGAGTTCAATAATAATAAAAAAAAAAGTAATTATAATTGGACAAATCCTATTTGAAAAATATAATCAATGGAGTATATAATTTAATCGTATAATACTGTGCACAATCAATTAATTTAAATAGTTGGACATTTTTTTTTTCTGTTTAATTTCGGTATTTTGTTGCATTTGTGTTGTTTCATTAAAGTACATACGAATATTGCGTTTTTTTTTTTTTTTTACGAAAAGTTAATTTAAGTTTTGCGTATTGGTTTAATTCGGTTTAGTCCTATAGTTTCAAAATAGGTATCTATAATACCTATGCATATTACGTGCATATAGGGATTATATTCCGTGAGCTAAAATAAAATGTGTACAATTTTTTTTCTATGTATTCCTTCATTTGATTTTTTATGTTCAGTCGCGTTTTACATTTTGACCGTGATATAGGTACCTGATGATAAATTTTCAACTCGAAACCGGTCGTATAATACACTTATCATAATACTCCAGGTGACGCATTCGTTAACTTATTTATTTTTTATTTTTATGTATACGTTTTTTATATTCTGTTATTTATTTATTATTTGCTATTGTTTATAAACATTAAAAACATAATTAATGTTACACACGATTTGAAATTATAACAAAAATTAATTATACCTGAGTATAATACGAAAACAGAAAATTGTTTAGTGGGATAAATGGAAAATCTTGCTCAAAATTAAAAAATTAATACGATCCTGAAACACCAAATATTTTCCATTGCCGTTACTGTTATCTATATAATAGTTTGTTCGACAATTAATTATAATAATTCGATTTTCGGTTTACAATAAGGGATTAATTGTACGTATCGATATTATTAATATTATAAACAAACGCGTATATGTGCCTCTACAGCAACGATAACAATTTATGACGTTTGTGCACACAGATAAGATCAGAAGAGTCGAGCGGAATAAACAAAAAAAAAAACAAAAAAACAAAAAATAACTCAAATTCCCAAAACGTATTTGTTTGCATATTTACTGTACAGCTACGACTATACACTTCTGCAGTTTCAACTTCTGAGCGATTAATTTTACAATATGATATATTGTATTGATGTGACGTGATGTTTTTCTCAGAAAATACTTTTCACACCGTAAAATATATTCACCGAAATAATTTTTATATTTATATAGTGACGTCTATAGACAGAAAGTTGAACACACGCACAAACACACACACGTACACAAACACATATGATACTTTAGAAGTGTCATTTTTCAAATTTCGTAAAACTCAAGTAAACGGCACGAAGAGCGTTTAAATTTAAATTCTCAGTTCCGTTTGAAAACCATTTTTCAAATGTGAAATATTTGTCACTTTCGGATACTGTATAAAATAATAAAACATTGCGGCGACAGCAAAGTTATAGCGAAGTGCGAGGCGATGATAGTGCGTGCCGAGATCGCGGAAATACTGCCCTATAGGTTTTTTAGTTTTTATAACAATTGCAGTTTTGTAGATAGCGATATGTAATGTACTATACAGACGATAGCGGTGTAGATGGTATCGATTTTTTTTTTTTATTTGGTGGTCAGTCGAAAATTTTCGAGACGTTTTTATTATATTGCGAAAAATATGACGCTGTGTGTATAAAATCTATTTCCATGTTTCCATTGTCTTAAATAATAAATAATAGAAATTTACAACATAAATCTGAAATCTAATAACGATCTAAATTTTTTGTTTAAACTTTTGAATAGATATGTGATCTGTGCTAAATTTTTTTTTAAATTTCCTTGTTCCTCCATATAAAATAAAACCAAGACATATAGGTCATCAATTACATTCTATTTGAACAGACACGGAGAAGCTTTAGTTTTAACGTTTTTAGCTTTATAGCTGCTCCAATCAATAGAATATTTTGTTTCAATCTGTAAGTTGGTTAAATAATGTGATGTTACTCCAATCTTCTTTATCCAAAATAATTTCCTTCAGTTCTCATTTATATGTTTTTTTTGTGAATTTGTTTTATATGATCTTCATCTTCCTGACTTCCCTCCGAGTTTTCCTTCAATTATTATAATCGCTATCCATGCATCGTTTCTTAAAAGATGTCCTATCCACTAGTTTCTTCTCTCTACGGTTAACGCCATATTTAATATTTTTTCTTCTATCCTCTGGTATACTTCTCCATATGTCACTCGTTCTATTCAAGACATTTTTAATATAATTCAACAGAATTATATCCGTTACTAATGATGTACAAATTGATTTTTTAGATTCTGAGCGGAGCGAGTTTGGTTTTACAATGATTTGTTTTATGTGAACACTTTTTCTATTAGAAAGCTTACTTCGATTATCAAGTTTAGCACTTTTTCTGAAAGGAAATGTTCTCTGAGTGGTACTTGAAAAAGGTGATTTTATGAAATTCTCATTAATATTCGAGTTAATGAGGAAAGCCTGGATCTTTTGTTATTATTAAGTTTAATTTGTTTAATCCTTTTTAAACTATCATTGATGTCATGGAAACGTACATTGTTGTAGTAATTTTACTGTAATATGACATATATATTGTTAACAAAGAAATAACATCAACTAAACTCCTCTCAGAATCGTTTTTTTGTTAGTAATGGTTTATCGTTGCTTACAGATATACATTAAATTTCCGTCTGTATCCTACCTCCCCAACTTCCCACCTACAACAGTGGCTGCACATATGTGCAAAGTTTATCCCCCTTTTTTTAGTTATAGTTCCATTAAATCTTTTAATATTTATGCTATGAACATTTTGTAACCTCTCCTTGTTTTTTATTTCAAGTTTATTATATTGATTTAGTTAAGTAAACTAAATATTAATTGGTTTTTTTTTTTACTCATATGTACACAATAAATAATTATGTTTTTGGTTTTTTACCCGTAAATAAATAAATTATAAAAATAATTGCATGTATTTTACAGTACAGAATAATATATATTATATAAAGATTTATCTATTAAACAAGTACCTATATCACAAAACTGAACTCGCGATTGTAAAATAACGGTTTGAAATAATCCAAATTTGCAGATATATTGGAAGCCATTCAGCTACATGTCATCCCACCTCGCCGACTCCCATTTTGCCTAAATCTCATATCGTGAGAGTGGGGAGATTTTCAAATCTTCCCATTTCCCCGACACATAAATTGGTTGTATTATTATTTTAAATTGAAATATTATTGTTGCAATGAAATTATTATTACTAAAGAAATTCTAGCACTGCAACCGCGGCATGAGCATGAGTAAATATATAAATGTATCATTGAAAATACAAAAATTATTGACAACAACAATAGGTCATCAACGATTAGACAGATGTCCAAAAGAATTTTTCTTATTATTTTCATAATTTAAGTTTAATATAGTGATGATTTATGAGAACTAGTGTAATCCTTGCAAAAATGACAACAAAAACGAGTTGTTTTAACATGAGCTATAGTGGGATGGAATCAAGACTAGGTGTACTTCAAGCAACGTACGTCACAGGTAAGTATTAAAAAAGTAAAATGTCGGTAAAATGGAAGTTGGCGACGTGGGAATGAACCCTGCCACAGGTACTAACGTCTCCGGGTTCGTTCGTTTTAGACGACCCGAATTAGTGAAAGTAGACGGTTGGATGGATTCCGATAATTGGACAAAGGCTATTTTGTTATAAGCTTATTACCTATAATGTATGTCGCTGAGTAAATATAACTTTGTTATGATTTCACCGGTACTAAGTAAATATAAATTTATACCGAGAGGACGATATCAAGAACATCGACGCACAAATAGAGGATCTGAAACTGAATCGTGAAACGTGAACTTTTTTAAAAACTCCACGGAACATATACACCTTTATTTTGTTTATAATACAGGCCAAAACCCAATTCAAAGAGAAGGTATAAAATTGATAAACACATAGCACAGTACTTGTTATATTTATGTATACATATCCCAGATTTATAGTGGTGAGAGGGGCGCGATCTCATGCCACAGTTTAAAAAGGAGCCTGGATCCCAAAAGGTTGAGAACCCTTGCTATAAATAGTAACGGTAGAGACGTTTCATAGGTTGACGGAATAATTGACCATTGTTAAAAAATTGAAGAACAATGCGTTCCGAATTATCGTACGTAATAAATTATAATAGTATATTATCTCGTTAAAAAAAAAAAAAAGAAACAAAATTCAGAAATAATCGTGTAGGATATCTATGTTATCATTATAGTTATCTATTTAATTATTCGTGAGTTGGGTTAAAAAAATAAAAATAAAATAAAAATGAAAAAGTAATAATTTGTTTTAAATTGGTCCCTTTGAATATTCGTGTTCGTACCAACCAATCTACCTACGGACAAAGGACGTCGTCATTTCGTTTAAATGGAAATTGCCTGGAGACTATCGCGCAGGGTCCAAATATAATTACGTGCGTTACGTTCTTTACCATACCGTGTACCGTGTGTGACCACTATAATCTTTCACGTGTTTAATACGCGCTCATAATAACCATTATGTTATAAAATAAAAAATAAAAAGAGTTGGGTATGTAGTCAATGTTTAGTTTTATACAGGGTGATATATGTTTTTTTTTTTTTTACGAACGTTTTCAGTAAAAATGACTGTTTTTTTTCATCAGCATTTACAGAATTGTTTAAGCTTTATTTAAACACTATTTGTTTATCCCCCTCCCCTATTCCTTATACCTCAAATGGGAATATCAACCGGGGGCTGTTTTAAGAGTTATATCCAACAGTTTAAATGCCTATGCCGCCGGTGTTTAGTGGGTTATCATCTGAAAATGTATACGAAATTTATCAACCTCCATTAGTCGTCCGGCGTCAATCATTTTTAACCGTTAAAACTTTTAGACATAATAACTCGTAAGCTTTATACACCCGACATCAGGATCGTGCACGTATCAAAATGTGTACGAACAAATAATTTTATTCTCTGTTCGAATCTGTTCGAATCCCCCTATTGAAAAACAAGCAAAAATTATAGACGGCGGTGCCGTTTGAAAATCTCTCTGGATAATTAGCGTTAATGGTGAACGGGACGAGGGTAACGGTGCGAAAATATTGTAAATATATACGATTCCCATATTATAATGACGCGGGAAAAAGACGAAAGTCGATTGTACTCGAAAATCTTTGTCGGCAATCGGCCAACGGATCGCGATGACAAAAAAATAAATAAATAGATCACTCTGTATATTCACCCGATTCGTGCGCCCGAAGTCGGCGTGATACCGAACATAATAACGTTTTGGTTTGCCGCGAATCCACGGGCGATTTATCGCGCGGCTTTTCTTCACGTCCCGGCGAACCGCGCCGGATCAACAAAGAAAATGTCGCCGTCTCGCAACGCCGCGGGTCCGGTAGACAACGGCGACAATAATGTTATTGTCGTTGACTATAAATACGTGCAGGCCCGCGCAATGCAAATGCATTTATCGGGCGCATTGTTACACAGCTGTTTAGACGCAATTAACCGTTATTGCGGTTATAGGCGCACGTCATAACGATAAAATATAACATTGCATTGTTCGCGGTTGCCATTGCGATTTATAATTATCCGTAACGGAACGCGGGGCCGGTTGTACGATTTATAATAACTGTCGCGCGGGAGTTCGCGATATACGCGCGCGCGGCCAAAAAAACAAAAATGTCGTCCGACCCGTACGGCGCGCGGGCGCAATTATTACAGAGAACCGTCCGAAATTCTGATCGCGACGTCGCGTGCACCACGGAATCGGTTGCCGCACGCATAAGATTCGACGTCAACATCGAGTTTACCGAATCTCGCGTTTTATTTACCACGGGATCCTTCGCGTACCGTCACTCGTTCACCCGCACAATCAAATTAAAATCCGACAAATTCACACCCCAACACCGTTTCGTCTGGCTTTTCGATTCGAATACCGTTTTTATTTTTTTTCCGCATCGACGACTGCGTAATAGGTTTTCCTAATGTCCAAACTAATTAGGCACGCGTAAAACGTGTAATCGTTGTTGGTTTGTATTTTTTTTTTTTTTTTTTTTTGTTATCAAAATTACTGTTTATCGAAACATTGATAAGAATCGCATACGTGATTTGTACCGCGGTTACACACACGGTTGTGCACAATGAGTCGTTTATAAAGACGGCCGGCCACAAAGTTGCTTATCGGAAATTTGTAAAATAACGATAAAAAATCTTCTGCTAAAAATCTAATAAACTCGTGTTAATCAATTAAAATCCATCAAACGCCATTCTTATACGTTTTTGTCAAGATTTTCGGTCTAAATGTCACTTTCATTTTCAGCGACTGCGACGTTCTTAAGCACGGATTTCTAATTGGTTTTCTAGACAGTCCAAATACTGTGTAAAATGAGAAAGAAATTATTGTTGGTTTGCAATTGTGTTTAATTAATCGAAACGGCCGTTTTTCGAAACTAATAAATGTGCACATCGATTGTAGATCGCCCGGGAATCAATTTATAATACTTACCAATGTGGATACCTGTATGGCTACCCGGAAACCAATTCGGCAATCGGAAACCGACTGGTAGACGTCCGGAGTTATACTGTGATGAACACTCGTCAGGCAAGAATCGGAGGTACTTTCGATAGATATCGGTATAACTGAAAAGAAATCGGGATCCGAATTTATGTCTAGCTGGACGGTATTCGTCTAAAACCGGTCGATCATTGTCGTTTGTAATTGGTTTATTATCATTACTCTATTATTAAAAACAAATTGCTACGCATTTCATACAAATATAAACTCACGCCAAAATGTACTAGGTGATCAATCTAGCGTAAGGCACTCATTATCTCGGAAAGTATTAACTTTTTTCGTAATTTGTTTTATAGAATGAGCGGCTCTACAGTTTTACGTTTACGTTATATTTGGTCATCCTAATTTTTTGCGATGAAACCACCACCTTCTTTTAATTTTCGAACGGCACTCTGTATTAAAAATTCCATAAATGGATTGAGTATTAGTTAAACAAATTTACGGTGTTGAAATTTTTGATTAAAAGGGTAGAAGCTATTGCAGTATTAGTAGTGTTATTTTTTACCTTGTAGCCAAAATACGGTAACCCAAAAATCAACCTAAATAAAACCCATGTATCGACGTTTGTTGTGTTTTTATTTGTATAGAAAAACTGTCGGGAATCTATTGACGGGGTTTTTTTTTTTCAAAATCGAAAATCCGCGCCTTTGAAGGGACGATGCGTATAATTCTGAGTATTTATTTTCGTATTTAGTTTTTCTGAGACAAAAAAATGCATATATCTCGATAAAACTAATAGCGCTTCTTCGCTGCACTTAAAATCTATAATCGATAATACCTTTTACTTTTTAGATTCTGAGTGGAGCGGAGAATGTATTGGTTTCGTAAAGATGTTTATTTATTTTTTTTTTTTTATGCGAACACTTTTTCTACCAGAAAGCTTACTCCGATGTATAATATTTTTTCTGCGTACAACTTTAACTATCAATTTTGCTCCGATTTACAATAATTGCACTTCTTCTGAGAGGAAATCTAATTGGGAAGGTACTTTAGGGAGGGTATTTTCCTAGCAAATCCGAAAAACCGGGAAAAACGTAGGAAAAACGAGAAAATCGAATCAATACAAAAGACAAATATTATTAAAGAAAATATATAATGTCTAGTTAATTATTTCACCATAATATGACTTATATACTATTCGCAAAGCATTACTTCGCTCAGAATCATATTTTTGTTAACAATGGTTTATCGTTTGCGTACGGATATACATTAAATTTCCTTCTGCATCTTACTTTCCCAATTTCCCACCTACAACAGTGGCTGCACTCGTCCCCGTTATCCTAGGGCAGATTCATTTAACATGTACGTTGAAAAAACGAAATAAAATAATGACAATTATCAATTTTATACTTTGTAATAAAGAAAATGTTGATACCATAATACTACTGATATTATCACATAATATATAATATCTGTTTCGTCTGCGCTTTACAAAAATTTCATTATCTCAGCGATTTTTGTTCTATGAAATGAAATAATAATTAAAAGCGTGTATAAAGCATTGCAGGTGATATTATTTTTAATACGCGTATAAGCCGTG